AAAATGACCCCGATTGGGAATAACGAGTAATTGTGAATATGTCAATATTTAGATATTTAGGCTTTCTCCGTCAAATTGACCCCCCCCTCCCCTTTGGCATGGGTCATCGTAATTCCAATATCCAGTCGGCTTTCAGACGTTTGACGTCTCCTTTCGGGATAGGAGGTCTTAAAGTATCTCCGATAGCCTCCGCCAAAAAGGTTCCCACGCCCCTCGAATTCGGCTTTCACCGAGTTGACACTCTTGAGGACGACTCTTTCCGTGTTACCAATTGACTGATCATTATTCCAAAAGCCCGAGGCAGTCCGTTCCATTAAATTCGAAGGCGACACGTGCCTAGTATTAAACTCTCCGCCCATCCTTCGTGCACCTTACCCTGAACGGCAAGAACAATTCCTGACCTCCATTGTCAAGAAAAAAAAAAAAAAGCAAAAAGCACGGTAAATCAATAAGAAAAAAAATATTAAGAAACAAATTGCAGCGAGGACAAGCCGGCGGCAAAAGTCTCACGTTCTATCGATAACCATAAATCGTTCCACAATCGCTTACTCGGCATTTGCATACATCAATTCCCTGTCACCAGATCAAAACTTTATTCCCCATAAGAGGTATTCCTGCCTAGGGCAGGGTGAAGATTCGCGATTGAAGATGTATTTGGCGCGAGACTCTGCAATCGTAAATGATAAAAAGTGCAACTTAATGGAAGAACGATGTCTAAGTCGGATTTATGGAGGCTGCGATATCAAAGTCTCGTAAGATACTATCCCTTGACTTTCTACCGGGGAAAATTAAATTAAAAATAGAAACAGTGTCGTTTAACGTGTTACAATGTTTTTTACAAGTTGGATAGTTTGAACCCAGTTTAAATTTACTGCCAGGTGTCCGATGGCCGAACGGAGTCGAAAAGTCGGCTTCTCTCGTCTCTGCAAAATGGAACGCTCTCTCCGCCCCGTCCTCCCATAAACGTAATGAAATTACTCTACTACAAGGTTAATTTCGTTAAAGATTTAACTCCGTTACACCGGTGTAATTTATTGGGCTGTCGCGACCGTCAGAGTTATCGTGAACGTTGACAAACGTAGTTAGCCTTTCGCGCGTCCGAGTCCTCGTATGCTGATGTCGCTAATTCGACTTCTGGGGAAATGACATTTCCAAGAATATTAACACCTTTGATAATAGTTTTAGATGCAACAGGAGAACGTGCCAGGGAGAAGTACCCGAGGGAAATCCGGAAAATCTCGTAGAAGAAACGCGAAAGTGGAACGCTTCTCCAAGGATGCGACGACGCGTCCTCGTGTGCTGATGTCGATGATCGGACTTGGGAAATTAATTTCCAAGATTATTAACACCTTTTATAATATTTTTAGACGCGACAAAATACCAGGAAGAACCGTCCGAGATCATCGAACCATTGGGAAATCCTTGGAACCTGATCCAGAAATGGAAACGTGAAGGCGAAACCGATTTTTTTTCCGATCTAACATTATTTCCCCATTGCACCGAGAAAAAGAAATGTCATCGAGAAATGTTTCCTTTACTACTACCAGGGAATTATTTTCTAAATTCAATGGAATATTCTAAGAAATCATTTTTTCTCGGTGCAGGTGATTTACCTCGACACATATTTCTCTTTTGTAGGATCTTTTTGCGACGAGCATTGATACGGGGGTGGAAGGTAAAGCTTCCCAGCAGCCGAAAACGAGGCTCGAGAGAAATGGACGAAGACCAGGAATTATTCCAGGGCAGGTTTGCCGAGAACGAACCGACGAATATCTCGGAAGCCATTATCCATGTAAATCTATGCTCGATTTTGTGTACCACGAGTCCCGCCTCTAGATTTATGCGTCAAGTTCGTGCCCGGAGATCCAGGGTATCTCCTTCTTATTCCTGTTCCCGAAAGCGATTCGCTCATCCAGTGGTTTGTATAAATGGCTCGAAAGAGGTTCCCTGAGACTCAGGGCACTGACTGGTCCTTTTTTACAGGTCTGATGTTACGTGTCCGATGGTTCAAGGATCGGACTCCTTCCAGACTTTAATTTTTAAGCCTTGCCTTGTTTTTCCACACCTAGATGTTACAAAATTATTCTTTCATTTTATAGGTCTCTAACTTCATTCGAGGAAATAATTTCCTCGGGGGGGAAAAAATTATTTCGTCAGGGTGAAAGAAGAGAACCGATTGGCAGCTTTACGCGCAACCCTGAAGAGGAGGAAAACAAAAGTTCGCCTAAAAGTCACAGCAACTGGTTGGGACATTATCCGTTTACATCTGAGTCAAAAGAAGTTCGTCTTGACATTTGCCAAGCCGAACTGGACTGAGGCGCATCGTTATCAGGGCATTTCATAATCGGGAAAAAAAGAAAAGAAAAACACGTGGCCTGACATTGGACTAACTGGGAACTTGCTCGCAGGGAAATAATTCTCGCTTGGAAAAACACATTTCTTTTTGCATAAATATATTTTCTGGGAAAATTATTACATCCGCGAATAATCTTCATGGTTGCGGCAACAATCGGCATACAATGGTGTGACGTAGTCTTCATCCAAAGAGGTCTTTCCTGAAATCCAAAATTTACGAGGCGATCGATGCAGACCCTGAACTCTTCGAGCAAACTCGCGAGAAATTAATTAGACGTGGATTTGAATTAATTCGGCTAATTATTAACGTGTTATCTATTCATCTCCCGGAAGCCACGAAGAAGAAGATTCCTCTTTCGGGTCCCGGGAGATTGAAATGTTAATTCTCTGGATAAAGTCATTTCATCCGACATTGGCAGTGAAGAAATTATTAAACTGATCGGTAACCACATTAATCATGGTCTAATGTCAAATAAATTTCAGGGGGTCGATCAATTTTAAAGGGACTGACGAGGAAAAAGAAAAACCCGTTAATCAAGGGAGTTCGTTACATAAATCTCAATTTAATGGCCCCCCGGTGATACTGTTAAAGGGTCAAGCCGAAAAGTGCCGATGTCACTAAACGTGAATTTTGTTAACTGGTTCCCCAACAGGTGAATTAATTATATCACTTCCAAGAAGAGACGACAGGCTTCCTACTGTGTATCGTAAATAGCGGAATTTCAATGGAGCCTCTCGAAAGGGAATTAAATTAATTTCTGATTTTGCACCGATGCTATTTCGAACGGGCTGAATCAGATTGTCCCATTCGTTTGGTTGTTTCTTTTTTTTTTTACTCTGAAGATATAATAGTTACTCAACATCGACAAGAGTGTCGAAACTTTCCTCGGTCTCGTTTTACTTAGGGTCTTCGTAATCACGCGTTGAAGTTTAAAATAATTCTATGCACCGAGTTAGGAGAAATATTTAATAAATATAGATCTCGTTGCAATTAGGTAGATGGGAAATACAATTCTGCGGATAAAACGCTTTCGCCGATGCTCTTCCGGTAGCCGTAAGATTAATTAGAAGCTAAAAGTTCTCCATGCAGGTCGATTCCTTTTAAGCGCATCTCGAGGATAATATGGAGGAAGGAGGATAAAAAGCTCGAATGAAAAGCTCTTTACCTCGTCAAAATGGAGGCCGCGATCGACTGGAACTCCGTGAAGCTGGCTGAAAAATTGTGAAGCACAATTTGTTCGACCGGGCTGAAAGAAGTGATTAAAAAAAAAAAGGAAGTGAAGGAGAGGACGAATAACGATGCGGTAAGAAAATTCTCCGAGGGGGAGGATTTTTTCTAATATCTCCTTTTTTCAGCTTTTCTGAAACTCCTGGAACTTCAACGAGGGGACTACTCTAAGGGTGGACTTTCCAGGGAGTGTTTCACGGTAATTTTATCAATTCCGGGTACTCGACCGCAAGTGCACCCGAGGAAAACTAATCAAGTACTGCTTCCTTCCTCAGGTTCTTTTTTCCCCTTCCAGTGGCCCTTCCGTGGTATCATCGTAGATTCATCGTCGTCGCTGCTTTCGAAACCTGCGAAATAATGTAACCGGTAGATGTACTTACCAAGTTCACGGAGTAAGTGGCAATCATTTGGCGAAAACGTCCTCCTTCGTCCGAAGCGTCTCTTGGTGGCGCTGGATTCAAGAAGATGGACCGAGCGACGTTCACGAAACTTTCTCTCAACATCCTCACAGTTTCATCGTTATTACCGCTTTAAAAGTACTTAATTTTCAGGTATCCTTGACAATGTTTCAGGTACGTTGACTAATGGTTTTCAGGTACTTTTTAGAGGTCTTCAAGTACCTTTAAAAAGTATCTGATTTTTAGGTACATACTGAAATACCTCGGGTACTTTTACTAAAGTTCCTTAGGTACCTTTAAATACTATCTGAAAGGGTATCCGAGTTCTAAAGTACCTGAATCAGGTACTTTTTGCTGGAGGTACCTGAGTCAAAAAGTACCTGAATTAGGTACTTTTTAAAAAAGTACCTGAGTGCAAAAGTACCTGAATTAGGTACTTTTTAAAAAAGTACCTGAGTGCAAAAGTACCTGAATTAGGTACTTTTTAAAAAAGTACCTGAATCAGGTACTTTTTACTTCGGGTACCTGAGTGCAAAAGTACCTGAATTAGGTACTTTTTAAAAAAGTACCTGAATCAGGTACTTTTTACTTCAGGTACCTGAGTCAAAAAGTACCTGAATTAGGTACTTTTTAAAAAAGTACCTGATTCAGGTACTTTTGCACTCAGGTACCTCTTGCAAAAAGTACCTGAATCAGGTACCTTTTAAAAAAGTACCTGATTCAGGTACTTTCGGACTCAGGTACCTGAAGTGAAAAGTACCTGATTCAGGTACTTTTTAAAAAAGTACCTAATTCAGGTACTTTTGCACTCAGGTACCTCTTGCAAAAAGTACCTGAATCAGGTACCTTTTTACTTCAGGTACCTCCAGCAAAAAGTACCTGATTCAGGTACTTTTGAACTCAGATACCCTTTCAGATACTATTTAAAGGTACCTGAGGACCTTTAGTAAAAGTACCCGAGGCATTTCAGTATGTACCTGCAAATCAGATACTTTTTAAAGGTACATGAAGACCTCTAAAAGGTACCCGAAAACCTTTAGTAAAAGTACCCGAGGCATTTTAGAATGTACCTCAAAACCAGGTACCTTTAAAGGTACTTGAAAACCTTCGATATCGTCGATCTTTTCCTTCCCGATCCTCAAATAACCCTTAAAAATCTTCAAAACAGTTTAAGAAATAAATACACAGATGCCAGGAAAAGTGACTTTTCTAATTGACCGATCAGTCGGCATTTATTTTGTCGAAAACACCCTTCTTCATCCCAAGTGTCCCTCTATTCAAGATGGCCGACCGAGCGACGCTCGCGAAACTCTCCCTTGGCGGCCTTTGTTCAGCTAATAAATTGGATTGAATAATTTGAAGCTAAGTAATTGCAAGACCTTGCCGGTAAGGAGGCGCGATTAATCGGAGTTTCGGTCGTGACCCTCGAGCGGCCGAATTTAATATTCATTAATTATGTGCCGAGAGGGAGAGAGGAAGAGAACGAGCCATATGAGCCCCGGGATACACCCATGTATCAATAGCGCCGGAAGTCAAGAGACACGTAATGTCAATATTAATGCCCGTTACGGTACGCGTTAACTAATGTCGACCAACTCGTGTGCAAATCCGTACCCGAGTACCCGTTTTGATTCGATCTTTGGTACCGAGTATCAAAGGCTCTTTGAGATACTTTGATCGATCTATATCAGAATTCTGTAATAACGGCTCGTTTCCGGCGGATGACGTACTGTCTCGAGTATTCCCGTTGATTGTTCGCAAGTCGCGACCGCACGATTTAGACATTGTTCAATGACTACGTATTTTCAGGAGTTGACACGATTAATTACCCCTGCGACCGGGAAAATCTCCTGTACACGACAATAAAAAATTTACCGCTAAAGAAATGTTTTATTATTAAGTGAATTTATCCTGTCCGTTGATCACATCGTCCCATCCCTCCACTAGTTAATTGCAAAAGTTAATTGGAAATCTCGTAGGACAACCCAGCAACTCTGTAACTAACGATAGCAGTGTTATTAAATGATTTCCGAAGGAAGGGAATTTCTCAAAGGTATTTTGGTCACTTGGAAAGCCAATCGGTAAATGAGGGTCATCCTCGTTGACACGCGCTGTTATTGCCTCGGTTCTGTCAAAAGACTCCCTGCCAATGTCCTCCCACTACCTTTTCCCGATCTCGCCGGTAATTACCTTGACATCCACACATCAAGGCGTGTTACACGGAATATATAAAAACCGTGGGAGTCGCGTGGCCGACTATGAGTTCGCCACTGCTCGGGGACCGGTTCGCGTACTTTCCATGTCGATACGGCTTTAAAAGCTCGCCCAAAAGTTCGAAATCCCTATTAAATCTCAACCTGGGTCCCGATCGTACGTGTGTCTCCGTGCCGGTCCCTGTTTTTGTGCCGATTTCTCATATTTCAGAGAAGAAACGAACCCTAACGCCGGATCCAAGATGGCGGCCGCGCTGCATAAGGGACGCGCAAGAAGATGGGCGCTTCTGGTCGTCGCTGGAATTTTCGCTCTCATTGACGAATGCGCCGCCTGTGTGGGGAAAACCATGCTTCGTAAGTATCGGAAAAAGGTCGTTTCTAGAGGATTTTAATTACAGCGAGGAGGAATTGTCCGATTTCTCAGGAAAAAACAATTTCATTAAAAAATGGCGTCACGTCGGAGGATGGAAAAGATTCGTTTCCTTGTGAGCTGGATAAACGCTTAATTTAATATCGATGATTTAAAAAATTGATTTGAAAATGATTGGTTTTTTGGTGCTAAAAATGATTTATTCCATGTAAATTCACCTCGCGGGTAATTGAGGGTAACCAGTTTTTTATACCGATGATTAATTTTCATATAAATCTTCTGATTCAACTGAGGGCATCCAGCTTGCCAATCCCGCAAATTGTTTACCCTAAATAGCCTCAACGACCGTAATTGTTAACTCTTTTTATTTCAACCTCGAACTTTTCCTCACATTTTCCATAATCGATGATGAAAATTCAATTCCTTAAGGCAAATCGGAACATGCCGTATCTTGAAGTTGCTCCCTATTGTTTATAAACAATTTAACACGTGCCTGTGCCATCGGGATTTCAAGTTCCGTATAACTTATTTATTCAATTCCGATTGTTATCAAGCCGAGACGTGCGTGATGTTTAAACATTTTGAATTTTTTTTCAAACTTCACTTTTACATTAACTAAACTTAGTCCTGATAAAATTCCTTATACTTGAAGAATTTTTGTACTATTAATGCAACTTTTAGGACTCGTCTCATGTTATTAAATGCCGATTATTAAGATTTATTTAGGAAAGAATTTTGAACGTTTACAAAAATTTATTTCTAATTGTTCGACGGGAATTACGAAAATTTGCAATTAGCTTGTTAAGGGGGAAATAAATAAACTGGAACACTTTGCAGTGTTCACTTGTACAATTATTCGTCGACATTAGACACAAAAGACCGGCGACTGTTATTGACCACGTGGCTTTTGCAGTGCACCACGCGTGAGGGAGCAACAATGGGTGCTCAATGGATCGAGTACAGAGTCACTTGAATACAATGTAATTGATATCGATTTTCCCCTCCACATTGTACGCATCGGCCTTTGAGACTTCATTGATAGGAATATAATTCAGGATGTGTGCGTGACGGAACTGGAATTCCAAATGTGACAAGCTCATTGGTATCTCAATCGACTGTGTTGTGCAATAAAAAAGTCTCTTTCACAGAGAAAAAAAAGGAAACACTGCATAAGAAAAATAAAAAAATCGTTTTGAGAGAACAATCCATTTTTTCGACGGTGAAAAAATATTCAGCTTGTCTATCGAGGATTAAACGGTGAAAACTGGCGACTACTTTGCAGGCTTTCGGGAAATTTTCGATTTTATTTGTTCGTCCCAGCCAAACGTAACCTTATTTCGGGGTTGAATTTTTCCAATTGCAGAAATTGCGAAATTTGAGGGGAGATCGGTCAATCGACGCGAGTTAATGCAACGAGTTTCCATGGGTGTTGGGGGCGAAATACTATTTCAAAAAATTGCTATCTGGAATCAGGGAAATGTTAAAAAAAAAAAAAGAGAGAGAGAGAGAAGCACGCATCAAAAGTAAATTCCCGGAGGTGGAGTGCTAAACGCTGTTTCAGAGAAACTCACGCGTGGAATTGCGGAATTATCGATGATGTGATTTCTAAATCGAAAACGTTGCAAAAACAAAAAAAGAAATTGCCACTGGAATTAATAATCGCAGTTAATGCATCCCACTTTTTAAACGTATACCGTCGAGATGATTTCTTTAAAGCTAATTACTGAAATTACGGAATTGCCAATCAAGAACAGACGTTCCCAGGGCTTGAAAAAAATCGACAACCTAATCGAACAATTAGAGTTAATGGCTCGTAGAGTAAGGTAGATGCCTGGATGTAAAGTGTCGAATCTGGCCGTTTCGGCCGAAGGATCGATTGATTATTAACCAGCCCTCTATTCGTCCCGAGCTATTGAAAAAGTAAAACGACCGAAGCCATTATACGCGGCCTGAACTGACATGTACATCTGAAAACATCATTTTGCCCGGAAATGAGAGGGGCTTGGCAAGAGACTAACGATGCGATCATTCCGGGGATAAACCTATTGTAGATTCATGGGAACTGATCCCTCCCTGACCTGCCAGGATTTACTCTAAGTTTATGACTTTTCCGGCCACCGTGATCCGGAATCGTAAATGTTGAATAAGAATTAACCATGATTTTATTGCAAAAATTTAATAACCCTCGAAAATAATACCCTCAGAAAAAAGCGTTAATCGATGATCGTGAGAATTTCAAACGCACTAATTTAACCTTCTTAAGTAATGGACCTTGGAAAATTTAATAAACTTGGAAAATAATATTCCGATAAATGAGCGTGATTTTGACCATGATTTTATTGCAAAAATTTAATAACCTTGGAAAATAATACCCTCAGAAAGAAGCGTTAATCGATGTTCGTGAGAATTTCAAACGCACTAATTTAATTCTTTTGAGTGATGGACTTTGGAAAATTTAATAAATTTGGAAAATAATATTCCGATAAATGAGCGTATTAGAAATTTTTTCCCTATATAGACTAACCCAGGCCTAACCTCAAAATGGTCGTCTCCGATCGACCGTCGACCGGAAACTAACCGCGTACCTTCGGCCGCAATGGGTTATCAGTGACGAGTCGCTGGAAGAAATTTCTGCGGAGGGGGAAATTGGGCTTCCTCGGTGTAAATCTAAAAACGTTCGAACGCGTAGGGTGCGAACTAGAAGAGCTATCGGGGATGTAAATTCGCGGAGCTCGTTCTAGTACATCGGCCAGCGGAATTGCTCGGCATCTGGCTCATTCGTTATTTGCAATCGGATCACGCGCGCCTGTATGTACATTCAAAACAGCCCTACTTCGTTCGTTCCTCTATTCGGCAAACAATGCGGCAATTCCGCACCTCCCTGCCAATCCCGACGGAAATCTCGCCGGAGATACGAGACACGGGGCGACAAAATGCAGAATTTATGTCGCACGTGACCGGAAAGACGCCTCGTCTTCGGGCTTTCGAGTCTGCAATAGGGAATTTCCCCATTTTCCCCATTTTCAAACTCGTCAAGAGTCCCAGGATTAATCTTGGAAGGTGCGGAAATAATTTATGCATTTTTTTTCCTTCTATCGATCGGCTCGAAAGTCGGAAACTAAAAGTCTACAAAGTGGCGAACGTATCGGCGACTTGACCGCGACGAGGGTCGCAGGATATGAAATGTCTGGTTATTATTTTCAGGCGCCGGAGGATTGACATGTCAAGACAAACAGAGCATCCTTGACGAGCACAATCGTCTTCGACAGCTGGTTGCCCTGGGGCAAATCCACGGCCAACCTGGAGCCGCGAATATGATGGAACTGGTGATTGCAACTTTCCTGATCTTTCTTGAAAAGGGCTAATAGGTCCCTCATTTGCATTCCGACCTTCCCCGGAAATTAATAAAACATAATCCCAATAAATAGAAAATTGATGAAACACGATCTCAATAAATCTTAAACGTGGCAAAATGTATCGATACACTTTTCTCGAGGATTTCGGAAATTGGAGAGGTCATGGATTTTTCAATTTCAGATTTGGGACGACGAATTGGCTGCAGCTGCGCAAAGATGGGCAGATCAATGCAAAGAATCCCATGACACATCCAGGAATGTCCGTATGTATTTTTTACTGCTAATAAAAAATCTGCAGTGCGATAAATCTCTCGTCTTATTTTTTGTATGAAACTTCATTACACCCCTCACTGTCATACATACTAATTTTTTTCTCATCTGTTTCGATTATTTTGAATTATTAATTTATTTTATACCTGGAGTTCAAACATCATACTTGAAGTTCATAGATATGAAATATTTCAGGAAGATTCGCGGTGGGTCAAAATATAGCAAGAACATGGACCACGAGGCCTCCTGGACCTTACGACTCGGAACCTAATTGGAGGCGACAAATATCTGGATGGTTCAACGAGGTGCAACATTATCACACAGGATTCAGCAGAGCAACCGGCCATTACACTCAGGTTTGTCAGATTGATATATGAAAATGAGGGAAAAGGGATGAGCAGAATTAATTAGAGATTTAGTTGATTTTCAGGGATAACTATCTAAATTGACTGCTCTAAAAATAAGTATTTCATACCCTCGAGATTCCTCCATGTATTGTATTCATTTATTCTCTTGTATGTCTCTAGCTTGTATGGGGTGACACATATCTACTGGGCTGTGGATACTCTTTTTACTACGACCCTGCCCGAGGTTACACCAAGAATTACGTCTGCAATTACGGCCCCAGGTAAAATTATAAACAAAGTGTCCCATCTCGTTTACAATTTAAAAATCGGAATGCACTAGAAAGATTTTTAATTTCAGTGGAAACGTCCTTGGATATCAACCTTATCATTCCGGACAACCAGCCTGCAATCGATATGGAATGTCTTACTCGAACAAGTACTCCGGGCTTTGTTGTAAGTATCCAAGCCATACGGTCAAGATTAATTTCACATGTCCACGTGTTCGAGACTTCTCGCCGGTGAAATATTTTCCTCCTGAGAGCTCCGTTACGCAATTAGCATATTCTTTTCTCCGGTCTATCGCGACCGGTATTCCCTTCGTTATAAACATTCATTAACGACATGGTCCGTCCGCTTTTATGGGAATATTTTAGTCGCAAACCTCCCCGAAGCTCACGTTAAAATCCACCGATAACGTTTACAGTAATTTCGGTTTCGTGTCAATAGCCCCTTTAGGTGGGACTTGATCGTTTGAGAAATAGAACTTGCGATGGTTTAGATTGCACGCGATATCCCATATCGCGATAAACTTCTCAAATAATTTTCCATTCCCCCTTGGTCGCATAAAAATTCCTCCTTCATACAGTCGGACTAATTACCCCATAAAGAACAAAACAGCCCCCTCCTTGAAAGTCCATCATTCATTTAATTCTGACATTGTTTCCATGCCCAGAATTAATTACACCGTAGATACCGCTCCCAGTAGTTGATTATTTAATTAGGATTGTTGTTAAATATTTTTTAATATCCGAGATATATTATTTTTTTAGCCGCAAGAGACGGATTCTATCACTTGGGTGCATTATGTGCATACGGCTAAAGTTCCGGGGTTCCAGTCGATCACTGTCAAACCTGTACTTGACAGGGCCTGTCATGGAAGAGGATTATGACAGCAATTAGCTCGAAACACTCCAAGAATGTCGACGTATTCCCTGCCAAGGAATTCCCTCCAAGCAAAGGAAGATACGACGCGAATTGATAGAATTAGGTTAGGTTAGGAATTGCGATCGCTCGTTGTAATAGAATCCTAAGATTATGTTTTGCAGCGATCGTAAACGCTTCTAGTCCATTAGTATCTATTATTATTTAAAAAGATTTAATGACAACGTCACGTGGTAATTGTTACTTAACTCTACCCTGTTTATCACGTCTGCGCTGAGGTGATTTTTAATTCATAAATTATGGTAAAGTTAATGAAATTATGCAAACACGATGGAATTAAATATTTATACCGCGGCAACAATTGCTGCCCGTGGAGATAAAGATAAGAATTGTATACGTTCTAACGAGGCGCATTTAATGCATACCGGAATATTAATTGCCAGCAAGTTGATATTCCCGGCAGGAAATATTGAAACGGTCAAAGCCTACATTTGCGAGTAATATTTCGAGGCGAATGTCGGGCGGATAATTCTAGAATTTTAATTCCTATAATAAAAACCAATACGAGAGAATCGCTTTCGATTAAAACCAGCCCTGGCGAGTCCCGATACCTCCTACACATCGCAATTGCAATAACGCCAAGTACGTCGAATCGGCCCCAACAAGGGTAACTTGTCGAACACATACGAACAGCTTTAGTGGCGCGCATCTTTAATTCCGATTAAACGATATCGCACTTCCGAGATAGGTATTCTATAAATCCTCGGGTCATAAACTCCGAGTAATTACTCGTAGGGAAATAAAAATAGCCGATATAAGAAGAGCGACCACAATGGCCGCCGCGGAAGACAACGCGATGTACTCCTCGCAAGATGGCCGCCGGGGATTCGCCGAGAAGAACCCGAAAAATCGGCATACACTTAGTAGATACCGCGAAAAAGTATTAACAAAGGGAAACAGGCCGACAATTAACGTAGGATATCCGAGGAGACTAAGAAGACGAGTCCTCGTGGGCCTGGAATATCTTTGGATAAGCGTTATCACGACGGCTGCTCTTCAGGGCGTCTTCGTGCTCGCCGTCGAGGCGAATTGCAAGGACGTGACTGTTTTGGGTAAGGACGCATTTACTCACAAAGTTAGGGTAAGCGGGTAATTAGCGCGGAATTTCGGGACATTAAGGACTTTCGAAAGTTCCTCGCGTTTTAGGGGGATTTTTATTCTGGGCTCTCTGGGAGAGATTTCGATTATTAGGGTGATAAGGGGTATCGTTAGAAAATTGAAAACTTTTCACGGGACTTCATTTCAGAATCTGGAGTTCCCTGCGAACTTAGACAGAGTATCCTGAAAGCTCATAACGAGCTGCGAGAAAATATTGCTGCTGGTCTTGTTAAAGGCCAACCACCTGCGGGAAATATGCTGGAAATGGTAAAACTGCGTAATGATACCTAGCGAATAATTAATTAACAATATACTAGCGCGTCGTTAATTCTTGAGAGCGTCCTCACTAAACGATACGATTGACGAAAGAAATTTTAACTCCGTTCTGGGAAATTATTTCCTTGAAAGAAAAATCGATTTTCCTCTCAGTGCACAATTGCATTTACTTTATGCAGTACTGGGATGACGACCTGGCGACAAGTGCTCAAAATTGGGCAAATCGGTGCAATTTTGCCCACAACCCATCAACGGACAGGAAAGTAGGTAGGTTGTGTACCAACAATATATCACTGATAAGCAATTACGCGTTTTACTATCACCCTTTATCAAGAAATAATAAATGAAGAAAAATTCGAGAAGCCTCTCAGGAGTCTGATATTTTATTTCCAGGCAGGTTTGAAATCGGACAGAACATTGCTGAATTGAAATCACTGAGTGCAGCAACATCGGCTGATAAAGAATTCGAGTTGGTTATCAAAACCTGGTTCAACGAGCACAAGAATTACAAATTTGGACAATCCGTTTCCGCTTCGAACAACGTTGAGCATTATACCCAAGTGAGAAACCAAGTTGTGGTGTGAATCCAATGTTGAATTAAAACCGGAGGTTTATGATATTAAATTATTTTTAACGCGTAAATAATTTACTTCCAGATAGCTTGGGCGACAACGGAACGCATCGGTTGTGGCTCTACTCTTTTTATTACAAAAGACAATAAGAGGAACCGAATATTCATCTGCAATTACGGGCCCAGGTGAGTAAGACGTACCCTAAAAAGTTAATAATAAACATACACTAGTAGCTGCACTATTTGTTTATAGAAATTGTTTACTTGACTTTAATTTAAGTAAGCCACTTTTTACATGTCTGCAGGGGAAACGAATTAGGGCAATCGCCATACAACCCCGGAATGAAAAACTGCCCCTCTTCCTTCAAAGCCTCGAAACGTTATCCTCATCTGTGCAGTAAGTATTTCTTATTCCCTAATTCCGACCCAAAGTTCCCTTCACCTCGATGATTAATTAATAAGCCCATTGAATCCTCAATTTATAATTTATTTATCCCCCAGGCCCGAATAAGGAACCCCGAACTCGTTGCTCGCCGAGCGCGGGTGGGAAAAACAAAAGGAAAGGATTAAGGAAAAGTGAAAGACAATTAGCCAGGCAAAATATAATGACAGGATTCTCCATCGGAAGTTCCTTAGACGATGATTCCTTGGAAAGTTGGAGAGGCAGGAATTACGAGGAAGACTTCTCTTCGGAATACGACGAAGTGCCTCTATATCGAGGATTAAATAATAAAGGACATCCCGAAGAGGATGATAATCCTAATAACCCACCTTATTATCCTGCAATTAGCCAGGTATCGACGAGAAGAACCGAAAATGTAAATTATTTCAACGGGGACCTCGAAATCAAGGATTTACCCCAAGCGAAGGAAGAGTCCTTGGAAGGAGGTCATGCGCCGGAAGTGCGAAGGTTCGATTTAGAATTCGACGAGGACATTGAGGATTTCAGTTCGGATAAAGGAGTAATTCCTCCGGACGAGTCCTTCGATACTCCCTTTGAAGCCGAGACAACGGAAATCCTCGATATTAATCGGGATCAAAGCTTGGATCCGAATATCCAAGATGGCGGACAGGACCTCGGCGAAGACGACTTCTATTACAGAATTCTCGCCAATGCGGATTACAGGCAGAGCGAAAATCGAAATCTGTTCAATCCTAATGTAGAAGAAGTCGAGGAAAAGGACGAAGATGCCCAGAAGAGTAATTACAATAGATTTCAATTGGAATCGATATCAGGAAATGGTAATTCTAGCAGGCAGGACGAAATTGGATCCGTCGAGGGTTTAAGTACGATAACCCCATTGTTAAGGAAACTGGTCGAAAGTCCCGGGAAAAGTACCGGAGAAATTGAAGAAAGACGGGAAGATGATGGTAATGAAGGGAATTTGGAGGTCAGAAAATCATACCCCGTTTACAATGTCCAGGACTCGGGAGACGAGATGGAAAGTCGGAACCTCGGCGCGTATAATAATTCGGAATTGAGGAGTTCATTGAACAGCGACGACAATTCGAATTTTTATTTAAGGAGAATGGATCAGCAAGGACAGGTGGAAAGTGAAAACCGATACATTTACGGGACGGCTTTCAGGATATTCGACGACTTCGGGCAGGAAGTGCAACAAACTGGTTACAGGAAACTTTTGATACCGCAAAATATCCAGAATAATAATTCTACAAAATTCTCGAGCAACAATGGAGATCAGCCTGGCCCGGAAAAAAATCCAAGCCAATTCGAGGAAAGGAAAAATCGCGAGGTAAACGAGCCCGACTTCAGAAAATCTGGAAATGACCAGATCCTTAAAGAAATTGCGGAAGAAAATGACGAGCAACATAATATCCAAGCTCGAAAGGATGTAATCGATACCGAGATCCAAAATGGAAAATATGACGATAGGATCGCCGCGGAAAAAAATTCCGGGATCACAGAAAATGATTTTACGAAATTAAGTCCCGAGAAAATCCAACCACGAGAAGCAGGAAATCCGAACAGGGATTCCGATGAAGCTTCAAAGGACGAAGAAGTGAAAACAAATGATAAATTAGACGCAAGTGTAATACCAGATTCGGATGTAAATGGCGCTCGCTATCTTGGAAAAAATATCAACAATGACGCCGAGGTTACAGAAGAAGAGTATAAAAATGCCGAAGGGGGTGGAAGCGACCTGGAAGGAATTAATAATGAGAATGATAACATGGACGAAGGTGTTGATAACACCGATGGAGGTCAACCGGCAGATAATATCAAAGGTATAAAGTTTAGGAAATTAGGGGAGAGTTCGAGCATAGAGTCCAGAGTCGAAGAAGAAGACGCCGGCTTGAGGAGACAGAACAGCTTGAAATATAAATTACTAGGTCTTAGTGATATGGAAAAATTAAACGACTGCGAGAACTCCCGTCCGCGAAGCCTGCACCTCAGTATAATATTGTAATGCCGGTAGAAATATTAATATATCGAATTATAAGAGATTCAATTGCCTTCTCTCGCGCGGCCATCTTGTATATGCCATCGCAAAGTACGCGAGGATTGTAATGACCTCTTCTTTTCGGGCAAATCATGTTCCAGGATAATGGATCATCTAATTTCCGTGCAAACGAGGAATCCTTTTTGGTTTAATGTCAAGACTAACCAGCCAGAACTGATTTGAAGGGACTCGGAAGGATTCGTAACGAGGCCGAATGCAGCTGCGAAGCCGACATTGTCTCATTTTTTTTTTTTTTACGTGGGGAGGTTCTAAATAAATATTCCATGAATGAAATTTCTCAAAAAATTCGCCACTACCAATGACATTACGCTATGCAAATAACTCTACCACGCCGAGAACAAAAAAATTCCATGCTACCGGAGAAATATTTCTTTGAACAATACCATATTAAATTCAAAGAAATCATTTTCTCGATCCGAAGAATCATTAACCATCGCTTAAATAGTATTTATTTCTATTTTAAAATGTATGCACAGCAGTATAGATATTCACAGTTAAGTTTTGATTTACAGTTCTGTATACGTGTGTGTGTATATATATATATATCTTTACAATTCGCAATGAGGTAAATCTAGATTATCAAAGATTACGGCTGGGTAGTGTAGATGAAAGTCAAATTGATAAACTTACAATCTAGGAGCCTTCGATATAACAAGATTCTCGATTTTAATCACAGATCGTATAGAACGTCGGCCATTAAGGAATTTTCATTAAACCTCTCTTTAAATTGAATAAAAAGATATATTTATATTTTCCTACCCAGAATTATTTATTAAACGAACGTTTCAAATTACTGTTTCAATGTCCGGTGTAACATCTATGACATGATCGCACAAATATATTTGGCTGGAAACTCTGCCGAGTTCTATCAGTGATTAGACCACATACAAGACGCGGAAAAATTAATTGCGCCTTGTTTTATAGTTTAAGCATGTCGCGATATCGTTTAAGAAAAATTCCCTAATATGCCAACGAGCCGAGACCAACGATAACTAGTTGAAAACTAACGCATCGATTATTGGAAATTCGTAATGCTTCGTAAAATAGATTTATTCCTCGCTTGCTTATACTTTGTGCAATTGCGTGGCCGTTTGTTTCCCTCTGATTTCAGTACGTCGATCGGTTTAGTACGAGGATCCAAAATAAAAAGAAAAGAAGGGAAAGAAATTACCAAACAAGATATATATANTATAAAAGAAAGAAACAATACAACGCCTCCAATTTCTGATAACTGAGCAATTTACGAAGGGAAATGTCGTTGCGCCATTTCTAAAATAATGGAATAATTTTGTTCGGAGCATAAATTGAAATTAAAATTGCATATCGCGTTATCGATGCAAATCTGCTTTACTTTTAAGCGTACAAGGTCTTAGAATATTCAAGGCTTAATAAACGAGACCTTCGACGCCACTTCCGCGTCTCCTTGAAAAGGTCGCGCAAGAGGAGCGCCTCTTTGGCTGATAAAGGTTCCGATAAGATGCCGCGAAATTTACCTCGTCTATTGGCAATTGTTTAATTATGCACGGATACACATTCATCTCTCGGAGGATAAACACAGCCCTCGTTTCTATTTCGGACGTTTTGGGAGGTAAAAAAGCGTGCACTTGCGAGATTCCTTTGTTACGTCGCATTGTCGACGACCAAGCTCTACAAAAGTTAAAGCCCACGCTTAAGGATCGAAGATATGACAAATTCGTGCGATCGCTGCTGCATTGTCACATAGAAAATTACACGTTACAATTTTTTTTTTTTTTTTTCGACATACATAAAGGAGCTACACTCGCAAAACCATTTCAATTATTCCCTTGACTATCGCACCAGAGCGCCGGACAGATGGCGCCACATTTGAAAATGGCGACCGCACGAACTTGAAAGAATCCACTCGAGCGAGGAGAATTGCAGACGGAAATGTTGCATTAGCGAGTGTGCCATTATCGAACAATTAATCGAGGACAGATTGGTGTTCTCAGCCTTTAAAAGAAACGCAGTTGGACTCGCTTCGAACTCTTCGCGTACTCGAAAAGAAGAAAAAGAAAAAAAAACTCGCCCATGTTCGCAGATACGAAAACCGACATCGGAGTCGGACGATGTAGTCATAAAATTGCAATTAAACGCGCTAAAATATATAATTCGCGTGTTCAATCGAGGAATGCCGACCTATTTGCACCTTTCACATGAAGAAAATTGCAAATACCGTAAACGACGCTCTTCCCTATCGCAATACCATGATACATCGATCCGTATTACAATTACGAACGTCAGTGGGTACTCGTAATCCCTTGGAACCATTTTGTACTTCGTTGGCCTCATCAGGAGTGTCGACGTTGTTTATCTTTTTTATCGAACGTTGATGGAAACGAGGTTCTACCAGAGATGAATCGAGAGACGGCTTTAAAGATTTCCACAAACTCTGCGACCTGTCTTCCTCCGGATTAAATTGTACGAGGTAGGAAATGAAGAAATCATCGGCTTGAATTAAATTCCAGAGACCCTAAGACCTGTCTCTCTCGGCCTAGGATCGCATAATTTCTTAAATGAACAAATTCTCGATTCTAATTAAACTCCAGATAGGGCGAACCGTCTCTCTTCATCGCAGGTCTTATCATAGCGTTATCGCGAGCGAACTCTACCGCCAATCATAGCCGAACATTGTAAACTCTTCTGGGAGCTCTTCTAGCTAGGAATCCGGGGAATAGCGACGTCTCCGAGTTGCTCTGCCGAGATACTTCCGCGATGACCGACGCAGTTCGGTAGTTGCGAGATTCGCCTAGCTCGGCCGATTTAGGGCCGCCCTGGCGGCAAATAGATACACTACTGGGAGGTCTAGGTCGCTAAAAGCTCCTCTAGCAGCACCTAGCACGATGTTAATGCCCAATAGCCGCCTGGAACTTGGGCAAGCAGAGACCGAACTTGGTCTCGATCCCTGTGAAGATGGGCAGAGCTACTTGATAGCCACCGATGTGGTCCGGGTTGGTAGAACGAATCTCGTCCGCCACTCCCATGACGGGGACCTTCTGCTCCGAGCCGGTTGGCCGGCTGCAAATAATCGAACCGAGTTATTAATCGACCCCCCCGGATGTTCTCTCCAGTAATTCCGAATCTGGAACTGCCATGCCCATGCTCGTTGTCTCTCTGCCGATCTTCAGGTTCAGAACGCGACGGAGTCTCACGGCAAGAACATCTAATCCTCACGCGAGAAGAGACCGAGTATCTTTACGTGCGAATAAAAAAATAAAATAAATCCCCGATATCTATCCTCGTCCTATGACATACAGAAAGCAGAACTTCGGTGGACAGAGATCCTTAAACTACTCTAATTGCGTCCACGTCGGAAATTCAACCTCGATACTGGGAAATAAGTCTAGGCAGAATAAAAAAAAAAAGAGGCAAGCGCAAGATAATGGATGCAAGGAATATCGAGGGACACTCACGATCCTCCAAAATCGACGACGAACAGCCTTTGCAGTAATTCGTAGGTGAACAGGGTGACTCCGAATTGGGGGGACGATCTGAATACTCGAGCTGTAATTAGACATTGCATCAAGTACAGAGATTAAGGTGCGACATTCGGCATAATTTCCCTCCTTCGTTATCGACAACACAAAAGATCTCGTTATATTCGCCTACGGCGAGGATCTCCTCTCAGAGTCATGGGATGATAAGATGCGTTTTATAATCGAAAGAGATAATTAAAAAACACCCGTACCGGGGTTTGAATGTTTCATCGATGACAAAATGCAGAGCATGAACTGTGAAGATTAATTCTAGACTCCTCGTAAATGCTGGAAATCCTATTTTAGTCACTGTTCAGTATATCTCATCACCCAAACAAATGCGTCAGAGTATTAGGGATTATTTAAATCAGAAGTGAAGAAAAATAAAAAAATAAAAAAAAGAGCAAACGAGTAGGATCAACTTCGAACGAACAAATGGACGGTCAAGTTTTGGAGCACCCTGTGAATGGAAATTCAAAGATATAAATATAAATCGATAAATGAGAATTAATTAGGATCAGCATTTAAAATCGACGTACTGCTTATACCGAGGAAAAAAAATTATTTTCATTGAAGATTTAATTAATTGTTTTTTTTTTTTTCCCTTTAAGTCATTCACAGAGTGTTCCGAATTTCGGACTCATCGCCCTGCGCTGTACAAGGCCTTGACGAGACGAAGACGACAAACGTGAAACACCGTTTAACAAAGGCAACAACAGAGGGTGAGAAAGAGACAGAGACAGAGTACTCACTGATAAGTAAATCGCCGGGTCATAATTGAGGCGGAAGAAAGGCCGACGAATGCAGCAGGGCCGAACCCCGCGCATGCAATCGACCATCAGAAAATATTACCAACTGCCTTAATTTCTCTACGACCTAATTACATTTTTCTCTACGCGTCTATGTACACTAGATGCTACATACAGCAAGTGGCAGAGAGGTCTGCGTACCTCCCAATTGCAACATATCCCCCCGAAGCATAGATAAAAAAAAAATAAATCTAGTACCAGATGAGGTGAGCCTCAAAGCTGACGTACAAACATTCAGGAGGTGGGATACGAAAAGACTGCAAAAGCTGGATTTCCTCCTGTACGAAGCTTTTCTCAATGTGTGCCAAATCGTTTGAAATTTCGCCATGGAAAATTTAAGACGCGTATATGAACAAATTTATGTAGGTATAGGATGCTTTAAGAAGTACCCCACGTATGTAATTTTGCCATACGGGGTACAAGTATAAGCTTTGCAGTCTTCAGCGTATTTAATACCCCTTAAAGTATCGAAATATACGACTGAGATAAGAAAGCGTGATAAAGGGCAGGAACGCTCGTAAGTTCCGCTCTTCAAGGTCATACCTGATGCGCCTTTCCAGAAAGCTCTCGCACCCTCCTCCTTGTAAATCTTTCGTGCACAGTCCACGAGTCCATTGTACGTCGTCTGGCCTTGCCTCGCGACGACCTGGGAACAATGACGAATTATCATAAGATTAGTACAAATGTCTATACAAAACGAGGAAGTACCAAAGGAGAAACTATGCCGTGCATAGAACTCGGTCTTCAAGTAGAGAAACGTTAACCCCCTCACCTGTAATCTAGTCTTGATGACGTCAGCAGGTGTAACCAGAGCAGCCGCAGGTACTCCAGCGATGGCCCCAGAAGCGAGGAGCGACAACGGGGTGTTGTACCCTCCCTCGTCGGCCATTTGTGCTTTCGTGTGCGCATACATGGGGAAGTATATCGCACTGAACGGTACGTCTCGTAAAAAGCAAGCTCTAGCCCCCTGTAAGCATGAAAGAGATAAGAGACCTCGAGGACATCCTGGATGACCCGAAAGCCAAGCCGAGAGTCTTCACCTTGTAAAGCCCGAAGAGACCCAGCTCCTTGACCACCGACCACGCCTTGACCTTGGACCCTCCAGCTATCTCTCCGGCGACCTGGAGTCGTATCTTCACTATTTCCAGGGGATTCGTGAAGATCACCTGCGAGCCTCCGGCCTGGAATAAAAAAGAACGCATTTAAGCGCCGTATGAGAAGCAGAGATATTTCAGATCTCGGAGACGACGTTGATCGAAATCGGGGTTTCCATCGACATCGCTCGGGGGCAACTTCGCAAGGGTCACTTACGCAAGCCCCGGAGATGATCTCCCCGGCCAACGGGAGGTTTCCATTCTTGTCCATGAACTTGTCGCGCACGAAGTCGTTTACGGTGAGCTTGATCGCCTTTTCAGGGGCGACTCCCATCAACTGAGGCACCAGTCCTCTGTAGAGCCCGAAGAAGCCCTCGTGTCGGATGACCTGTCAAACGCGGGACACCAGCTTCATCATTAATCATGCAGACAATCGTCCGTAGGGAGACTTTTCGATTCCAACCTTTTTGCAACAGTCAATGCTATTCTTGTACATGAGTTCGCCGATGAAGGAGCCCGTCCTCTGGTTTTGCATTCGAGTCTTCACCAGATCTATCGGATAGACCGCCGTGGCTCCGACGGCTGAAACGAAACGTGACGGAATGGACAATACGTCCAGATATTAAATCAAGAACGAATCCGCGAAAGACCATCTTGAATAATTAAGGCCCTTAAGGGGATGCGAAAGCGGTATCTTCAATCGTTCGCGAAGCTAGGAAATATCGAAGACTCACCTCCTCCAACGGAACCAAGTACAAACCGATAGCCGCTCTCCAGGATTTGGATGAACACGCCACGTTCCTCCGGGCTCTGAAGTAAAAAAATGTTGGAATAAAAAAAAAAAAAGTTGCCGACGAGTACCATGAACTAAAGGCGCCTAAGAAGATGGTCTTTCGACCGGACTTACCGACACGGCTTTGATCTCCGCCAGTCGTTTAGTGATCTGCTTGAAATACTGCTCCGGCGTGATCACCACGAGGTCGTTGTAGACGATTTTCCTGCAAGTTGAAGACACAACCGATGCAATTAACGGATTTAAATAGCTGACAACATGCGTAATGAATGTCCAGCGAGGACCAACTAAGGAATATTTTAACACTGCTCGAGGGCATACGAGGTTTTAAAAAAGTCGTGGAGAGAGAAAGAGAGCTCGGCGAATGCCGGCAAAAGAAATGGCAAAAGGTGGCAAAGCATCCCGTGTCCCCAGCCAAGATGGGCCAAACGTGATTTTCATTTATTAATCGCACCTTTAAAAAATACATTAAATATTCTTTTCATTAACTATTGATTTCTTTTATTCGCACGTTCGGCCCATCACCGGGAACGCTAACGGAGGAGTACGGTCCTAAAGGCAGAGATCCTAGCGGCGGGTGCAGGAAGTTCGCGACAGAGTTCCTTCGGAAAATGGGAAAAGACGCACCCGCAAAGCGAGCCTCGCTCAGCTTCCCCAGTGGACCTGATATCCGAGCAGCGTAAACACGTAAAGAGATCATTCTCAGTCGAGGAGAGTGAAACTTCCACGTAAACCCGAAAAGACAGAACAGAAGTACACGGTGTACGTCCGTTAGCTCTTAGCTATCTTTCTCTACGCATAGAAAGGTGTGTGCACGTATACATAAATACGGAGATATTTCAATACATGTCCACGTATACATTAATACAAAAATATATATATACATATCCGTATACATGTACACACGGTGGACCACTCTCGGAGTGATTCCCCTTTTGCATATAAAGGGTCCTCTTCGCCTCACCTTACGCGCGACATCATCACCCGGTCACCGGAGTTCGTTCGGATGATGAGTGGATGAGTGGATGATGAATGATGATCCGGTCTAACGATAGCTTTACGTGAGATTTCGTGCTTTTCGACGACCGGCTACGTGGACGAGAATGCCAAGCAGAGATATCCTATCTGAAATAGATTGGCTTGCGTCTGGATCTCCGACACCAGAGCGACCTATCGTTCCACGTGACCTTCCTCGAGATAGAGAAGATATACCCGAAGAGGGTTTCCCATCTTCTATCGGCAATGTCAAAGGACTCACCCGGTCTGGTGGAGCAGGTCGCACAGGTGGAAGAGGATGTCCACCTCCAAGGGCGTGATCTGCGACATCATCTGCGCCGAATGGAGGAACTCCTCTGAAAATACGTCGTTACCTCGGGTTAAGATATGACCATTTCGCTTCGATATGAACTAATAATTGGTATTCCGACCTGCGATCGACGCACCCGTGGACCAGAGATAGAACGAGGTGGTAAAGCTAGAATGAAATACACCGAGTGGAGGGTTCACTTGCGCGTAAAGTGATCCTTTTTTTTTTTTCGCTCGGTAAATGAAAACTTCCCAAGAAAATCATACGCGGTATCGTACTATCAATGGTCCCACGATGCGGTATCCGCAGTTTGCTCCGTACCTTTGGTGACTTCCTGATTCCTGTGGCCGTTGGTTGCATTCAGGTAGATACGTTTGATCAGCTCCATGTTATTGAGTAGCGAGTTAAACGCCATGAAGTACGGAAAACTTACTTTCCTCCCGGACTGACCGATATTCACTGCCTGCGATGTGCCGTTTCGATTTTTACTTCAATTCGCAAGTCTAGACGCCGGCTAATTTCGTTTATAAATCTGGATATAGAGACGAGATCGTGCATTTCAATCTAAACGCGTCTCCGGCGATGCGTGGATATATTTCAACGTCATCGACGGGATCAAGGAGCCACTTCGAGATGTCGGCTCGTTGAACCGCGGGGAAAAAGTAGCGGGTAGGAAGCAATGACATTAAAGAGCCAACGAGGGTACTTGGCGCGGGACTCGATCCACAATCGTGGCTTCACCCTTTCAAAAGGGTGCCAACTACGCGGCCATTAATCGTAGGCACTTCGAAACCTGGCCAAAGTGGTCCGTAAATGTTTGCAAGAGCCGATCAAAGCGACCGCGGTGTACGTAGAACCTAGAGGGGCCTTTTAATTACCTCGCCTTGTCCCTCGCCCGAAGGAAGGACGTCATTTCTCTTATATAAGCGAGCACCAAGGGGGAGAAGATTTATAAACGAAAGTAGCGAAAGCTATCGCTAAGAATCCTATCCCTTAGCCAAGCGCTACCCTTAAGAGTCCAACGACGACAGGGAGGTGTTCCAGTCCGACGTCAACTTACCGCGACGAGATTTCGTTTCACCTCCTTGGTGAGCAGATGGCTCTTAATACTAAGCATGATCTCGTGGAAGTCCATCGCCGAGATGAAACCCGTGCCCTCCTTGTCGAATTTCTTGAAGGCCTCCGTCGCGTACTCCTCGTGGAAGTCCTGAGAGAATAAAGACGCTCAGTCTCCGTGCCGATAGAGATACTTTACAAAGTCCCTACTCGAACGGCTAAAAATGTCGATGTCAACTCACGTGAAGGAACTGACTGAATTCTGCATAGCTAATGAGTCTCTTCTTGTCCTTCCCGAAGTACAGCTTGATAAAACTGCTCTCCATGTTGAACGGCATCCTTTGGTGCAGAACGGTCTTCTTCATCACCTCAGCGAACTCGTCTGCGGATCGATAATCGTTAACCCATAGTATCGTTAATACCGCTTATTAGATCGATCCATAATAATTTACCAAACGCAACCATTCCATTTCCATTAGTGTCGAATAGTTGGAAGGCAGTCTTATAGAGGGCGTCCGGCACGCAGAGGAGGCCCTCGAACGCCTGAAATTCGGTGAACGAGATGAGCCTGAAAATAGAAAAAAAAAATACCGCTGAAGTTGGAGCTTTGTTTATGCTAATTTCATTTACGTGCGGGCGTTGTTATCATAAATATACAATGCGTACCCATCTTTGCTGGTGTCGACGATGCCAGCGAGGAGTCTGACGGAATCGGGATTGTAATCGGCATCCTTGTAAAGGCCAAGGTAAGTTCGTACAAAGTCGCAAGGGGTCATGAATCTCTCGCCATCCTTCTCCTGCGAGGCATACTGCAATAACGAGCACAAATTACTGTGATTACCTGCGAGCTAACGGAGGTACAAATATATCCCTCAGTCATCTTCGTCCGTTCCGCGCGAAATACAAGGTAGGTACACAAAATCCATTGTAAACCGTACACGCTGAAAATTATTTACTTCATTGCCTGAGACGAAGAAAAAGATTTATATAATAAAATCGGTGTACATGAAATTAGGTTCACTCGAAACTATACACGAAATGAAACGATTTTGGTGCGATGAAGAGATTTCCATTTCCAGCGTGTACATTTAAAAAATGGGGAAAGTGTATTGTCGATTGTTTATCTGCCAATCTGATCCGCAGACGTGTAGATTGGGATTAAAGAAGGGGACGAAGGTCGATGTTCATTAATAATTACCTGGTTGAAGATTTCATAGAGCCGATCACTGTTCGCACGCTTCAGATATCCGGGACCCTGAAATGGATAAAAGGACTTCAATCGAAACTCGAGGGTCGCAAAAGTAGACAAAAGTTGGCAAATGTCGTGACAAACGAGCGACCTTGACCGCGAGCAGAGTAAACAAAGTATTTTCTTCCGAAAGGCGTCTAGGAAACGGAGAATCGATTATCTCGAATCTCGACCAGGGCTTATCATTGATTACGGTGCCGTCGACAATGTCTATTACTTACAAGAGGCATAAAAACCTATTATTGAAATAGGATCAACTTTTCATTCGGACATTAGAAACTGGATTTTAAATACAGATCTACCGCGAGCTTTTACAAGCACCATTACACGTGCACCCGACTAAGGAAGACTTAGAAGCACGCAAATGTGATAAATCCACGTGACCGCGAATCGTCGACCTCGACGCCATCCTTGACCGAGGCGGTCATCACCTCGATTGACCTTAACCTCGAAAAGCTCGCACGTGGAGATCGGATTAAACGACGGGAATCGGCACGTTCTCGCTTGCACTTACGTTAGTCGAATCCGAACCTTTCGCGAGAGGTCTTCGGGACTATAAAAAATAAAGCAAGATTGCCATACGAGCGGGCACCACGTGACGAGTCAGATGACAGGTCACATGATCAGTCACGTGGTCGATCACGTGGTCGCCACGTGGCGCGCCGATGTCTCCCTGCTGACAGTTAATCGCTCGTACTCCACGGAGAATTTCAACGCGATATATACGTATAAAAAAAAAATAGAAAAAATAAAAGAGTTACGTACGTAAGTCATCGCGATTACTGGGTAGAGCTAACATTTTCAGGGAGACCTATATAGCGGAGTTTTGCGGAATGGAAGTTTTATCGGAAAGTGGATAAGACTGGTTTTTGCACTGACTCATCGCTTGTGGAGTGATCTTTCTCCCAGAGATGGTCTTCAGAGTTCCATTAGTGACTCGAAATGCAATAGAAAGATGCACGATGTTTACGCGTGAGTCCCGTAATCAGAGGTCGAAGGAGGAAAACTTGTATCGGCGGTCGTAAAGAATTATCGCCGAGCGGGATAGGAAAAGAGAACATGCATAAACATTCCTATAAATGAATAATCCACGGGTTAATTATTAACGAGGCTCGCATTTCCACGCATCGATTCCCATATCCCCTGTTTTTCCCCAGGACTCGAGCTGGCCCTAACCTACGACTACACGTTAAATTTTTTTATTACGCGAAAAAAACACTTGGATTTTATTCACTGTACCGCTTTGACGATACTCATATTAACTTTAAACGTACTCTCGTATTCGGCATGGTGGTTCGCCCTCTACGTAAGTACACGACCCGCGACTGCGCAGTCGGTGCACCCTCTTAAGTGAATACGCGACCCGTAGGGTGGGTGGTTGATTCGCCCTCAATATAAAGAGACAACTTGGGCTCGATCGACGCGCCCTCTAGGAAAATCCGCGACCCGCAGAGAGCATGCGCAGTAGCCGAATTTCGTCCGCGCGTCGCGCACGACTAATGGGACCAAACTGGAGCTCGTTCCCGTCCGGCCCTACGAAAGACACGGATCGTTCTTTCCCTCCCACTGGCCGTCTTCCTCTTTCCCCCGTTCTAGTAAGCTGATTAGAGGCACCGCTCTGAAAATACTCCGCTCGGTCGCGACTGATTACGCGAAGTCGGGGCCGGTGGGGGGGGGGGGGGGGGGGGGGGGGGGGGGGGGGGACGGGCACGTGTTTTAAAAAAGCCTTAAAGCGCCGTAGACCTTACTACCGGCTTTAAGAACGAATGGTTACCAGGTATAAAGTGCAGGCAGTTAATGCCTTATGAATTTAACTGAGGATTCGTTAACCCGAGATTACCGTGATACCCCTTGATCGCGATTAGTTAACCTCCGATTAGTGAAACTCGGGTGGAGGAGACAGGAGTTTCGCGCCAAGTTGCCCAACACCCTACGCGGTCCATTTGCGACGTTCATGGGGATTAAATTAAATTCACGGTTTAATTAACACCGCAACTGGAAATTGAATCGGGCATTTTATCCGCACAGTTGCATCTCTTCGCCGGACGTGTCGATTGTTAATTAAATAGTAAATTATCCCGCGAAGGTACTCGAGCAGAGAGGCGCGCAAGTGTGCGGTTCAAAATGTAGGTTAATTGCGCGTTTAACGTACGAGGGCGCTGGTTTCATGATCTGAATATGGAACGCAAATTGCGCATACCTCGGTACGGCGCTCGGTGCGCATGTATGCACCCTGAATTTCTAGTCATCGGGGATAATTCTGCTTTGTTGATCGTGAATAATTATTAACAGGTGCACGGTCGCGACACTCCGCGCCAAGAGAAGCAAGCTTCGTCGACAGTGATCTATTAGGAAAACCATTCTCGGCCGGATGGACCAAATGCACCGGAAACGAAAAAAAAAAAAAAATCCATGGAACCAGGAAGCGACCGTTTCACGTCAAATGAACAATTTCTATATACTCAAGTTTTAAATAAATTAAATTTCACGGTCAATTGCCTAGTCCTTCGGAGCACTACTACTGCGCAACTACATTCTGCCAAATAACAATTAAGCGCGTTTAAACGTTATTATCGCGCGTCCCGGTATTTTGCAACTACGAAAACGCACTACAATGATGCATGCGATTTTTATACATTTTATACATTTTATACATACGAGGCAAAAGACACGTCGTGATTGCTAACAACAATATCGTAACAATTATAATAGAATGTTTAGTTGTTAGCCAAGACTTGGTTAATCAACTGGATGGATCGAAAATCATTGTTAAACAAGTAATGACTAATTCGACTAATTCGCTAATCGACTTAACACAGATTAGGCGCATTCTCTTGCGTTTTTGTGCAACTTAAACACAACAATAGAGAAAACCTTACATACCCCTTGAAATACTACTCCACGTTTCTCCTGATAACAGAAAAGACAGTGGAAGTTAAGTAAACCTGATATCGGCATAAAAAGTCGCTACTGATATCATCGATTGTGGAAATGCAATTTTTTTTTTTTTTTCACCCAAGGTCATTATTCCCAATCTCATATTCTATTTCATATATATAGAATGATCCTTTCATAACCCTTTAAATTCCGAGGATCTAGATTTTCAAAATAAAATGTATGTCTCTGTAACTTTTTTTTTTTTTTTTAAGGATACTTGACATTTGCATTCATTCGAGCCAGAACGTGGAGTTACGATAAATGCGAGAGATAGTGATAAGAGGACTCTCTCCGAGGGGTCAAGTCGCTGCTCCCGGAAAAACACAATGGAAAAAGAAAAGCTAGGAAAAAGATAACCGAACTATTTTAATCCTTTCTTCTTCTTTTTTTTTTGCTGCACCGAGATAATCTACGAAATCGAGTACGACTCGTTGCGTCACGTATATTGTATAAAGGGTCACGTTTATTGTACAAAGAGAAAGAAAATTTATCGTTAAGAGAAATGTTCGCAGATGTTATCAGAATGAACTTTTCTGCCGGATAATGACGGGACATTACGATTTCTGATTTTCTAAATGACGGGATCTGTTGTTCCCAGCTATTGACACCGATAGAAATGTTCTCTTATCAGCGATAGCAATTGAGCAACGCACTCACGGGCCGAGATTTCGCAATCCGCAGATAATTCACGTCAATCGCTTCGCGGGGGTCCAAACACGATTAGGAGAGACAATAGATAAGAGTATATCTCGGCTCGGTGGATTGCATTAATAATTGAAAAAGAAACAGGAAACCGCGACCCCGAGTCACCCCGAAAACATCCACGGCTCGATTACCATTCGACAATTGAAATTAAATGTTCACCAACACTGAGGATATTTAATAATTGAACATATGCATCCACAGAGAACTCTTTAAACAGATTTCATAGACGACGTATCCCTCGGTACGCGAGACGCGGCGTTGACGCGACACCGGTGTGACGCGCCGTGACGCGATAACGCGGTGGCATTGAATTTCGATCGGCCGACGCGTGCCGCAAAGTATTAGCATAGCGCTCATCCTTTGCGCTCCACCGAGCTCGAAATATTTTTAGCGGCATCCTTGCTAACCCGACACGTGGCGATACCCCGGGAAACACAGGAGGAATAAAAAAAGGAAAGTCGACTAAAAAAAAAAATAAAACTGAACGAGAGTTAACGACAGCGAAACCTTCGCCCCGATTCATTTTCATCCCACCGCTTCGCTTCGCTTTTATTAAAATGCCGAAGCGAGGCGATTAATTGCACAAGCAAGGTCACCCGATAAGAGTATCCCTGGGAGCAACAACTAGACCACTCGTTATAATGACGCAAACCCCCGAATGATAGCAAAATGAAAGAAAAAATAAATAAACGGGTTCGCGCGTTCGATAAGTCGATTAAACGATTTAAAAAAGAAAAAAGAAAATCGGGGAAGAGAAACCGCCTTTCGCTTCTTCCTCCTCTTCTCCAAAGTATTCCATTAAATAATTCTTTCTTACACTAAAGGAAAAAAAAAAAAAAAAATCGTATCATACACATCTTGTGGTTTTAATTACTGTCGTTTAAGAATAGAGATTAAAAAATTCCCCTTACCATCACGAGCACATTATAGGATTTTCCAAATTACCAGGCTCGAAGAATAACCCGTTGACTGATGATTGGTAATTAATTTCCGGTCGAATTACCCCGCGTCCTGTTATCGACGTTACAAACTCGAATTCGGTAAAATCTTCGCATAAAAAAGAGAAGGAAAAAAAAAAAGTGTACTTTCCCGCGAATCACGGAATTTTAATGTTGAACCTCGAGGACGGGAACGCAGAATCTCGCGGTCCGCCGTCTACGGAGACACTGTGTGCCAGTGGGCGAGGATGGCGACTATTTTCGAGTCGTCCAAATGGCATAGAGTACATTTAAAAATACAAACGACGGTCAAGGTGGTGGACGCGACACCTGCGAACCGATCGTCGTTCCCTAAAGGCCTTCCCGAATGCCTAACGTGACAATGATCGCCAAAGTAACGATAAAAGCCGGCGGCTCCGATTGTCATCTACGAGACGCCATCTTTAAATTTCTCTTCTGGTATATAATTCAGGGAATTATTATTTTATATTATTTAATATTTTGAATTATTTCGCGATATGCGGTCTGTAGGTCCGAGGGTATTCCGTCTGGGAAGCGGAAGGCCCTCCTAACCTAGAAAAGGTCCAGGGGGTATCCCCGACCCCGAGGGTCGGCCGATCGGCCCGAAAAGCGGGATTCCGGCCAATAATGCAACGAGATCGAGAGTGAGGGCTGCGGCTGTAAAGTCCCGGTGACCTCGAAACCGCGTCGGTCCTCTCTCGGCGAGACTCGGATCGATATTCGCTCCGCCAATCGGCTACCTAGGTTGCGGACGTTCCGTGTCTCTTGCGGAAGCGCGATATCGCGAGTCGGGCCCTGATTGGTCGACCGGCCCTCGCCGGTCTCTTACCATGACGTGCCAGGACATACCACTTACGCATCAAAGCAATAAACAACGCACTTACATCACGACCGATCGCGTCAGCCAGCTAATCTTTTAATCTCCACTGTTTACTCCGTCGTTAAATAACATGACTCGAGATACATTACATTTTAATCCCGAAATAGATTCCTTGGTTCGATGAATTTTTTCTTACTTTCAGTGTATAATTAACTGGAATTTATTTATTTAAATAATGTCTGCCTAACTGGCCGCGCCTTCGTTTTCGCCGGTTCCTGGCAGATCGTGAATAAGAAACGAACGATTTTATTTCTACAATTGGATTTGCGAGGGTGGGAAAAATCGCGAGGATCGTTCCTCGTTTAGTCTAGACACGGCTTTATTTCTTGAAGATTCGATCTAATGTATTCGATAAGGATCGATGTATCGAATTGTCCTCGCCCACTTTCCTGGTCCCCGGTGAGTCTTGAGGTGAGCGTAATGGCTTTAACGGCCGTTGGGGACTTGCCTAAGTTATGATGAGCCAAACTTACCCACCTCTTGGCTGGACGCTCGAACGATTAGGGAGTCCTTCAACATTCCCAGGTGAAGAACTCGAGGATTTAGTAATTCGGGCACGAGACGATCACTAGACGGTCCGGCTCGTTGCGAGGGCCGGGGGTCGAATCGGCCACTGCGTCCTGCTGTTAACGCGCACCCTCCTCGCGCGCGGTCTCACCGAATGGAACTGAATGGAACTGAACACCGAATCGTGGAACCCTTACCGTTAGACGAGGCAATGCGCCCACCTGCGGCAGATGACGCCACTCGACTGCCGGATGACGCCATCTTGGCGCGGCGGACATGCGCACCGAGACTGCGAGACAAGTAACGCCACCGGGCCGGCGATTACTTATAACCTCCCCCACTCCTCTCCGTATGACTACTGTATAGTCGTATACGTACATAATTATATTTTAATATTTAACGTTTAATAAAAATAACTTACCGGATTTAATTCACGTAGGCTGTTTCACTTCTTGAATCGTGACCTGGTTTTCTTATTTCCGTCGTGTTATAATTTGACAGACATGTGTTTTGTACTTGGCTGTCACGTAACGGCTTACATAGATTTCTAGACATGCTAATTCTGGAACTTCTAAAATTATGTATATATATATATTTTTTTACTTTTACATTAATAAATACTGAATGATAAAACAGTGTTAAATTATTCTACCAGTCCCTCTTATGAAAAACGTGTCTCTTAGTTATTGCAACCAAGGAAGTCGTAATTTGAAACGTCTTCGAATTGTTGATTTTGAGGATTGCCAGGACCGATAGGCCTAGATGATATTTGCCCTCTCGGTCCAACCATTTGCTGCTGCATAGCTAGGACTTGCTGCCTGTATTGTGGCTGTTGCTGTAATTTCAGATAAAATTTCTAGGGGTCAGATTTTATCGATAATTCATCGTTCTTGTAATTATCGTTCTTATAGAAGCACCTAATCGATCAAGGTTATATGAGCAAAAACAAATATCTTGCCTGTTGTAACAGATGTCTTAAGCCAAGACTGTTCGCCATGACAGGACGCATCATTCGCTGTGCATTCGGTTGCTGTCCACTCATCGCTGCACCAGGATTAATACCCCTTTGAGCTTGTTGTGCCTGCCATAAACAATAAAATCCTATGTATATTTCGCGTCTATCTCTGATATCTTAATAATAAAGGTAATACATTTTCTTTGCACTTCTAAAAACAATAATCGAAAAGGCAAACCTCAAGCTGTTGTTTGTACTGCATTTCCTGTTGCTGCGCCACCTCTAGATTTTGCTGAATCTATAAATTTCAGATTGTTAAATATTGAACTGTAAAACGTGAATAAACCATATAAATAACAACACCTACGTTGACTTCTAATTGTGACTTATACTGCGCCTCCTGTTGTTGTGCTGCCTCAAGAGTCTGACGTAAATGTTGTATCTTCAAGAGATTTTGTTGTCTAGCCATTTCTAAGTCATCGTAAGGTGGTCGTTGTTGTCCCATCATGTTACCAGATCCTGCCCCGACTTGCTGAGGTCCTTGCATTCCGCCAGTCTGTAATTAATTTTATAGAATCATAACTCTATACCAATGCCAGGTTACAATCTTACCAAATATGAATTCATTGAAAGTTCTAACAACTGAGATATTAATATTAATACCTGCATATTCAATTGCCCTTGGGGTCCCGTTGACGTGTTCAATGTCTGCTGTGGGCCATTCGACGACACCACATTTTGTGTTATTTGACCGCCACCCATTGCCATTGTGTTTGTTTGAGACATAAGAATACCTCCTTGAGAAATTCCTGTTGTTGGCATCGAACCTGATATGGCATTACCTGACACTGACCCAGGCTGAAGTTATAAAAACATCGATTAGTTTTATAAATATTTATATAATTGACATTTAAAAATATGTATATCCAATGAAACGTACTTGTCCTTGCTTTACCAACGCCTGCGTGGACTTCTGATGCTGAATCACTTTACGAAGGCGATCGACAAATGCTGTCTGATCATTCGGTATAAATCCTAAATATGCTCTTCGCTCCGCAGTGTATAAAAGAATGAGTACTTTTATATCGCAGGGTGAGGGAATCGATGTAAAGTGTACACAGCCTGCCTGAAATGGGAATTATTAATAAGTTATAAGATCTTGTCCTTGTATGTACTAACAAATAAACTGAAATAACATGTAAAACATTAAACTTACAAATCCAGAGCTCATGACTTTCGTGAGAGAGTCAAGGCCCTCGGAAGGTGTAGGATGAAAAATGACAGACTTCGAGTTCTTCAAATATGCTCCTCCGATATTGCCTATGAGTTGTTTCGGCATCAATTGCATGATAAGTTTCTGTGGCCACATATCTGCTTTCCTGGATGGAAGAAATAATGTCAGTTCGTATATAAACTAAAGGAGATTAAATTAACAAACTCACAATTCTGGTTCGCCATCCTTCGAGCTGGCCGAGACTTGGCAGGGAACTTGTCGAGTTTGCTTCAAAGCGTCGACTGGACTCTTGGGTTTCTCAATCCATTCCAAAATTCCTTGCCAGATTGTTTGACGACTGGTAGTGATCTGCTGTCCAGGAACATTTCCAGCAGCAACGGTACCCTGCAACATGAGCAATGCGATTCAATTAGTCTTAAGATGTGGAAACACTAAGAAAGATCTTGACTCCCATGAAATGTCACTTTTAACAATAAAAGTTCAAAAACTGTTTGTAGACGAAATAAAAAAATTATATTTCAATTTAAAAATTTCAATCAATACCTGAGCCTGTGGATGAGAAACTTGTGATGTTCCTGACGACACAGATGCAGAAGCTTGTGCTGCAGTTACTGTTTGTTGGACTTGTGTCGGCACCGATTGACTAACTCCAGTCACTGCCAACTGCGGGCCTGTCTGGTTTTGCTGTGGTTGATTTTGCAATCCCATCGAAGCTTGTTGTGCGTTTTGTTGCTGATGCAGTTGCATCGTTAGTCGTATCTGTTGTTGAGTTAACTGCTGCTGCTGCTGCTGTGCACCAGCTGTGAGATTAATAGCATACTTTTATAATTATCGATGCCCTATCGGTGATCACATATTTATAGGATATTTAAGGTTGTACAGAAGTGTTTTCATCATACCATCCATTCTCTGGTTAAATGACGGAACGTTCAATCCTCCTAACGAAGACGGTGGCTGAGTCAATTGTGCTATCAATGCACTTCCTTGCGTATTCGCCGTAGCCGTGGAACTAGGAGGCATGAATGGTGGCCGCATCCATCTTTGATGAGTAGTTCTTGCACCCAATCCTGCTGCATGGTAATTCGGTGGAGCAGAAATTTGTTGACCGAATGCAGGACGCCCTGCACTCATCGGAGCAGCCATTGACGGGGTCACTGGCTGATGAACGGATGTAATATTTTGTGGCGTTTGACTTCTAAAGGCAGAGCCTTGAGTTTGCTGTGGCTGAGTTATGTTCTGCGTTGCTTGATTCGTGTTTGGACTATCGTTGCTCTGCAATGGACTCAAAGGAATTTGCGCTGCACTCGCAGCAGCTACATGACCCGTGCTGCCAATCGTTGGACTGACTGGTCGTTCCTTCAAATTGTAGTTTCGCAGCAGCACTAAATGACGCGGATCCTTGGCGTAATTCTTTGTCTGAGACGATTGAAGATCACCACCTGCTTTCTCGAACAGTTTAAACAGTGCTGGGATTTTCCTTGGCGATAATATTGAGAGATTGATGTTCCTCTGGAAGATATTTTAATATTTTAGGGGAACCAAAAATCACTGACCACGTTATACTATTGTCGTAATCAAGGAATTAATTTATAAATTGTGTGTTAATTGCTACTATTGTATATTAACGAATGGTTGACGTTTCCTAACTTTGATACTTACTTCTTGGAACAGAGCGGCCAATTGCTCGACCGTGTGACCGGCAAACTTGTACGACTCCTGTACAACGGTTTGGTAGGGAGGCGAGTTGCAAAGCAATATACAATGTTTTTGTGGAGCAGCATTAGGATCTCTACGTAGTTGTAAATCTTCAAAACACTGCAATCCAGTTGCGAGTCCTTCGGCAATGTTAGCGTGAGATTCTCCCTTTCCACCCACCATCCTGTAAAAGGACGACGGTGAATACATGTGCAAAGCCTGCGAAATATAAAAGTATACTAAAAATAGATCACTTAGGATTATATTACATACTCCAATTTCTCTAAGGTGAGCAATAACTTGTGTGGATTTGAATAGGGTCCAAGAGTGCCCGTGCATGGTGCTGGTAAGCAATCGGCTGCGTGATAAACCACCACGCCATAGAGAGTGGTGCTATTTTGCTAAATTTGAAACAGTTTTTTGTCATTTTATATTTTTAAAAATATTCAATTATTAAGTAATAACGTTGATACATATCGGATATTTCTTTACCTCTGACACATATTCTCGATCTTCAATTCCACCTTGACTGAAGTATCTGCAAGAAATATAATCATTACAGGATACCAATTTAATTGGAATACTCTTCTGAAACACTAAAATTGAACAACTTTCTAAATACAAACAAATTGTAGATTTTTTAACGTGTACTTACTCCAAAGTCGGTATAAGATAATTCGTTTTAAGGTCGTTTAAGTAGGCACCGTTAACGGCTGTGCCTTCGATAACAAAAATTACATCGGCTTCCATTCCATGCTCTGTCGGTCCCGCCACCATTTTATCTTGTTTCAGGAAAAATCACTTATCCCTACTGCAGAAATATTAAAGATTACTAATTACACTGCTGTAATTTATTAGCATTCTTTTCTTATTTCATAAGAAAATTGTTTTTCGTGTGATATGATAAATAACCTACCGTTCGGGAAAATTTAATAATTATGCACCATATTGTACAATAATAACGCTTCAACTACTTTGCAAACGAGTCTTTAAAAGTCATCTAACTTTTATGCTACACGTTCACAATTGTTCACAATTCACTTTACAGGTGAACACAATCATTAAGAACAACCAATGAACATAAATAACTAGAAGGGAATCTCGTATCATTCCTTTAAAATAGTTCCATGAAGTAGCGCTGTTCTCCATGTAATCGATTTCGATAAAGTAAAGCGGGAATTCAAAATAAGTTCGCAGACAAGTTCTGAACCTTTGAAATATGCTCATCGAACAATCAACTTTAAAAATTAGAATACAATATGAATAAAATAAATTTTTGTGTCTGTTCAATGAGCATGTCCGAATTTACCGAATTTACACCTGAATTTCTCTATCTTGCGTTTCTTGCCCAATCGCACATTTAAGACAAAGAAAAAGACTGAAAGTGGTCCACCGATCCACATCTCCCTCTCCGATAAATTCCTTAAAATTGGACAATTCGTTCCGCGTATCGGAACTTACGCAGCACCGCCACCTTTTTTTTTTGCGGATATCGTTACACCTTTTTGGACATAAAATCGCGTTTGATCGTCAGAAATAAACCGATACAAGTAAATACGAGCATTTCCTCGATACTTTCATACCAAGTATATTTCGCACCGATCCTTCGGCCTCGATACTTGCTGTAGGTGAAAAGAACTCCATTACCTTTATCAATTTTCTTTTTACACCCACTCAGCCATTAAGGCGAAACCAAAATGGCGTCTCAGGGGTCACTTATGAAACTTTCACGAAAACGACTGATCTTTGCATTTTCTTTCGGAAAAGGATCATGGCAATAGGATTCTGGTCCTAGTCGATTTTTTCTTGAGTCTTTAGTTAGGACGCGCCTGATAGGATTATCGGTTCTTGTTCGCAGATGCTGGACCGTTGTCGGACTCGTTGCCGCTCTAGGGCTATTTACCTGTGCATGAAGTGAAAGCCATGATCGAGGCTGGAGTAGAATGTAAAGAAGCCGAAGTCGAGAGAGGGAAACCAACGGCAGCTACATCCCAGTCACTCCAAGGCGAGCTGAAAGGAATGTTCCCCGTCGTACCGCGCCGGCATCGAATCGTCGAACCGTTCCTCCTCCTCAAGAGACTCCCCGGGAAACACGAGCGAGAAGTACGTATCGAACTTCGACTCTCTTCCCCGATAATCGACAACCCCCCAAAATCATCTTCGACGCTCTTCCCTAGGTTCCTCCGCTTTCATAACCGATAGGGTCTGCAAGGGCGTTGACCGATTTAAAGAGCCGACCTCGGGAGACGCGCCGCCATTTTTTTTTTTTCTTTACCCTTGCTTGGGAACTGAACTTGGGAACTCTTAAGGGATTAAAAGTGTTAAAAAATTAAAATGCGGTAGGAAAAATCATTGCAATATGCAATAAACTCGATTTTCTCCGTTTTTTTATGAAACAATGTGCGGGTTGTTAAGAAGAGTAACCAGTAATTCGCAGACTCTAACTACCTGGTTGCAACAAAAAAAGCTGTAAATGGAATTTAAACGACACACTTCCACCCGAGATCGATCTTTCTTTCCCTCGAAGTCGTCGAGGAAAATGAAGGAAAGTGAAACCGACCCCAGGAGACCATGAGGAAGGGTGAAAGAATTCTCTCTCGGTTAGTTCCGCGAGAGAAGTTAACGTCCAAGACGGATCCGGAAATCGAGGAAAATTATCTCTCGGTGTCTCCCAAGCAATGTCCAAGTGAAAAGTATTCTCCTCTTATTTCACTTCTTGCTCCGAGTCTCGGTTTCCTTCGAGTAAGATTGGAACGTGATCCGGATCGGAGAACGAAGAAAGTAAAAGCGACGCCCGGTAATTGAAACTAGTGCAACCGCAATTTCGAGTGTTCCCCTTTTCTTAAATTATACCCGAGAAAATAATGAAACTTCCCGTAACATTTATTTTCTGTTAAGTTTGCAATTTAAACACTGCGTGTTTATTAAACAATACACTTTAAACGTCAAAGTGTACCCGGAGGAAAAATGTTAAAAATTGGTATAACAATAAATATAAATAAGAAGCAGAAAACCATATACGTAAATTAAGCACCCAGCCATAAAATGCCCAGACCGGAAATCCTAAATCCTGCTACATTTGTCATTAGCGAGATGCAATTTCAGTAGCTAATTGCACACCGTGGAAATTATATTCAGCTTTAAATCCTAACTCCACTGTAAACGTTTCTTGCGACCGGCGAAGAAATGACGCAGGGTGTAATAACTACGTGAAAAGTGCAAGTGCGCGTGAAAAAACCTCATTTTTACCTCGAAGAACGCGTTTAAGAAAATATGTGGATGTCGTTTGCATACGGCTGTGGAATAATTATAAGGTGGTCACGTTTCTCACGTGAGCCACGTGCAGCCAATGCACTCCGAGTGCACTTTGCAGTCGATGACAAATGCAAATCACCGAGAGACACGACGTCGCAAGGGAAGCCATTAAGGCTGGAAGCGATTTGTCCCAAAATACCATCATTTTTCTATCTAACGCATTACATTGTTCTGGGAACGAAAATTACATTAGCCAGAGGCAGAATATTTTTCATATCTCCGACGAGGGCTGACTAATATCCCCCAAAAGTTTCGGTTTAACGAAGCATCAAGACACGGAGCATATTTAATGATAACTCGACACCGTGATAAAACCAGCATTAAAATTCCCTGCATTTTTTAATTAATTAAACATTTTAATAAAACATTTTCCCGAACTGGGTGCACCGAATTATCTGAAACTAACACGTGGTTAAGCTCTAAGGAAGAATGCTCGTGAGATTTAATTTTTGTGAAAAAGAAAATTTCATACCACCTTAAGGTGATAAATCCACCTTAAGGGGAAAAATTGTTAAGTGCAATTTCATATTTTTGAGATTAGGTCAATAGGAGGAAGATGCGCGTTTTCCGCGCCGGTACACGGTACTTAACGAAATTCTGGTGAAAGTACTTCACTAGTACACAGGTATGAGCGATTGTGGAACGCAAGTTGTCTGTAATCAGTGCCTTGACTTGCGTTCCCTTAGAGCACTTGGCGTGATAATTGGCTCGTGGATTACGTCTCGTTACATCGGCGCGGACACCGTTTCACAAACCGCGTCGTGGCGAAACCTGGTTTCTTTATTTTCGGGACGACGCGGGGGATTTACGTAAACCGAATCGCGATATTATCTGCTCGCGATAGGCGGCCGCGGTGAACCTTTAATTCCTTGTATGCCGGCCGCGTAATCCTTTCTCACGATTCGATGGGAACGATTGTTGCGTGTCTGTCTGGAGATAATATCACGACTCTTAGCGATGTTCACGCGTGTCTACGTGTCCAGCATTTCCAATAGCGCCTGATGATCTTGGTGCGCGACTCGACCTTCCAATTTGCCTTCGATAAAATTCAATTTTTAATCTCGTAAATTTAATTTAATGAGGAAGATGATCGTCACTAATTCTATTTTATCAAGGACATGATGTGCATAATTTCTAAGGACGCCAGGACGAAGATAAAAATGGCTGCTGACGAAGGAGGGCCGCGTTATGAACAGGAAGACGTCTTGCAGCGAGAAACTGGAAGGCGTACCTGTAGATCGTTAATCAGGAATTAATCGACGGTGAAAGTACAGTCAAGGAAGTACAGGAACAACCTCCCAACCTTCGGGAACCTACACATGCGTATTGGATCTCTGGTGCAGGAATTGAACACTGATTGCATTGATAATCCAAGGACTCCAAGGAGACGTAAACTCCAGAAAGGAGGATAATGGCGGAAACTCGTTGCAGAATAACTAATTAAAAAAGACTCGACAATATTTCCTTAAAAAAATTGATTGGCGAAAGCTGGTGGAACAGCCTCCTCGACATAGACCTCCGTCGATCGCCTACCCCGTTATAAATAATTATTGAGTATATATGAATAAATAATTTCTCATATTCCAAGGTGGTATCGTTCTAATCGAGATGCTAGTTTCAATGGTGAAGAATTTCTAGTCATTTTGCCATTCGCTTGACTCGAGAAATCCGTTGTGGAATATCTTCGAGAGAGATTCCTCAGGACTTTATGCAGGACCCGAAATAGCCGGCCTCGGGCTGTTCGAAGGACAAGGATGGCGATCCTGGAACAAAATGAGAGAAAAGTCCTGAGACTGGTCAAGGGTACGGCGAAGGTGATGGGTCTTTGGTTCCGTGAACATTTTTGCATACTTTAACTCGATTTCTTCCCTCCTCGAAGTCTGTTCGTTGCCTCCACCTTTACCCTTAACAAAAATATTGGACATAAAGGACCCCGTTAAAAATTTTCACAAAATCCATACACCTTTAATAAATAAGACTCTACTAAAATAATAAATTCCCACATTTAATGTAAATCTGAAAATCCCGTCATAGCGTTGCAAAATACACTCACTAAATTTCTAACGTGTTCATAAAATATACAAACAAAAAATTAGCATACCACCTCCTAAGACTCCAGGGGAGATTTTTTAAAAAATTAAAATTCCAAGATACGGATTCAACCGCGCTTGGTCTCTTTTACTCTATGCGTGGTTATTTATTTATTTTTTTTAATATATGTTTTTTAGCCGTGTAGGATACCCCAGCATACCAAGGCAGTCTTGTCTGCACATGGATAAGTGTTATCAGGAGGAAAGATTAATCGAAGACAGAAGGTCTGCATATGGGGCGTGGGTTGACTTGAATTCTGCCAAGTCCAGACGTGGCAGGCATTTAATATGTTAATTTATTAACGGGTTATTCGACCGGTTTTGAGATATGCTTATCGTGGGTCGACCACGTAAATGTAAAGGCGGAATTGGAAATGGTCAATGGAAACATTGACCATGATCCTCGAGAAAGGTGGACGACGATCCTGACCGGTCGTTGACCAGTTTTCGATGTTTTGATTTTAAAAAGTCTTCCCTCTAAATAAAAAAAAAATCGAAAAGAGTCCTTTCTTCCCCTGATTCCACTTAAAGAAGAAATCTTGTCGTCTGGATCTTCGTTTCTAATGAGAAGGTCTTATCACTGACCCTACTGATAACTCGCTAAGTGCCGAATTTAATGAATTCGATTCTTTAAAGATATGCAAATGTTTCAAGACGAAGGAACTGTCGGATCGTTTCTTATGGATCCTCGAGATTTCTATCGAGAGGATCTAAAAATCATTTCTGTAAGTAAGGTCAGGACTGTAGAGTACTCTAAGGATAACGAGGTCAAGGATCCGAGGCCACTCCTTGCTACAGATACTCTTGAGCACACGCAAGAGTGACTCACTGGAATTTGTATTCGAAGGATCCTGAAAGTTGTACCGAGCTTCTAATCTCGTTACTTTTTAATACCACATGAGAAAGTACGGTCTTGACTTCGATGCTTCAATTGTTTCGCACCTATTCGTATTATTCACGTCTTCAGGAATCAATCGGTTCCTGGCGGCCATTTTAAAAAATTTAAAATAAAAATCGCGCGTACGTTTAGAAAATTCGCACATCGAGAATTCGTCACTTTTCCGCATTTTCCAGCATAAGTACTCGCAGTTTACATCGGCAGAGAGTATTACGACTATTACGAGGTGCATGTTGCAAACCCGTGAGAAAATAATCGGGTGAAAGGCGCGCAGAGCGGCTTCGAAACTCGCCTTTAACATCGTCGATGGGATTTCAATTATTCTATTCGAATGTTCACCTGGGAAACTGTATTACTATTTGTAGAAATTCTCCTTTACAGATTTCGAACTCGAGGGGATTCCATACGATGCTAAACTGACTGCAAAATGACTTCTAAGTACATCCCATGTGCCCTAGTCCTAGCTTACGGTAAGATCATTAACAATGTTAATAATTGAACTTCTATCTTGATCCACCCCGAACAAAATTGTAAATCTTGAAAAATCCACTGGTAAAAAATACTGCAAAACGCAACAATTACCAGGAATTCTGTGGATGTAATTCTTCATGAAAAGGCGATTAAACCGTGGAAAAAAATGTATTCCGGATTATTCAAGGCATGTAGATTACGGTCGATCAGTGCTCGGAAAGGTTCATGTAATTTTCCCTGGGGTGTAATTTCCCGTGTAAGGAAGGAGTATGTAATTTTCCCGGGATCCGCTCCGAGGGGACTCTAATCGACCTGCGTGCGCGCACCAAATACAGCAGAGCGCAGCAAACGCTATGGTTTCTTTACGTCGTCGGGGCATGGTGGCACGTGTTACCGTGACACGTGCTGCAGTCTGAAAAAGTATAGCTCGTAGAAATTCCTGGGTATCCGTAAGGCCGCCAACTTGGTCCACTTCACTTTTACCAACGACCGGCGAGCAGAAAGTCCGCCGAAGCGTGGATATGTAGGTTGAGTCCAGAGAGGAAAGTCAAGGAAGGCACGTGTCCGGTTGTCTTTCAAGAAGGAGCCATTTCCGATAGTATGTGCGTTAGAGAGATGCCATTGTCCAGGATGAAGGCCATCTTGAATTTTCGCTCCTGGACGTTGCTCGAGCCTAAAAAGGCGCGCGTCTATTTCTCCTCATCTCGAGGACTCGCCGTCCTTATTCATACGCAAATGGCAGACATTCCGTTGTTAATGGTATGCCAGTTCCATGACACCTGAAGTTTCTTCCTCGCGGAAGGAAAATTCAGTCCATAAAAGAAAGCAAGTGGTCCGCTGATTTTCATCGACGGATTACGTCTTTTACTATGTCGCCGTTGATGTCCAGTCGCAAATGCAGCTGATGGGGAAGTTATCATGTTTTATTCTTCATCTTCCCATTTATTTGCAGCTGTAGGATGCTTTGCTCAGGTTTACACGAGCCAAACCCAAAGTACCAAGGTGGCAGTCTCAACAGTAGAAGAACCGCCCGCAAACAATGACTTCATTACACAGACTGTCTATGGTTTTCTGGATTTCACCACAACAATTGGTAACACGGTAATGGTATTCAGCCCGCAAAGTGCTCCGCCCGGTAAGTAACAATTATTCTTCTAAGCCTCAAAGTTCTTCCGCGTAACCCGAGAGATAATTGGAGTTAATCTGACGACAGACTCGGCAGAGATCTTCCTCCTAGGGAAAACTTTCTTTTCCTCAGAAGTGTGTTCCTTCAGTAAGGTGTAAATTTCTGCTTAGAATAAAGAGTTTAACTTGAAAATGTTCTAAGACTTGGAGAGGGACTATTGGATGGATTTTTGATTTTCGAGGGAACAAACAAGCTTATGGGATCGTTATCGCCATTCCAGACGGTGATAAAGGAAAGATGGCAATAACCAGTCCGGCGATTCAAACAAAACCAGACGTGCAAAAGAAACATCCAGACATCCAGCCGAGCAAAACCTACAAAAGCGAGGCAGATTCCGAAACAAAAAAGCCACAGAAAGGTGGAAAGATCGTTGTCAATTCCGTGGTGGAGCAAAACGTCGTCAACCAATCCGAACAGAATGTCGTGCACGGGAACGATAACGTAAGGGGATAAAAAGAGTATTTAATTATAGATTTTTATGGACGTTGCTGAAACCGATTGTCGTTCACAGAATGTTAAAACCCACGTAAACGTGGTAACTAAGTCACCGGTAATGTCAACGGTGATCCAAGTCAACTCTAAGTACGAAACACCAGTACTTGGAAACAATTTGGCAGAGCCAGAGTACGACTTTCTGTCTAAACAACCCAGCGAAATCGTCGACGAGACGTACAAGGTAACGTCAGAATGTAGAAAACAAGATTATCAATTACCGACGTACCTAACGATCCGAGAACCTCATTAGAGATTTTACTAATTCTATAAAAAATGATATAGGCAAAGCGGGTTCGGTGCTAATGTTCTGGAATTACCGGAACATGAGCGAGCTGAGACTTTGCGGGCACATTTTGCATATTTGCCCCGAGAAAACTCGTTCTCCAGGAGCTGAATAGTGTGCTAGTGGCACGAGTAGTTTCTTGTTTCTCCGGAACTAATGGCATGTCTCGTGTACTCCGAAGCCGCCTTCTGCTTTACGAGGTTGAGAGGCAAACCGAGGACTATCCTTACTTACTGATTACCGCCGATTTCCCACGCTTTCCCGCTATCGAACCATTCTCTCGGCCCCTGTTCGGCCTCTCGCTTTTTAAATTCAGAATGATGAAGGATGTTCGGTCGCATCTCACAAACAGTCTATTTTTAACATTGACGTGTCTAGATTCCAATAAAAATTCCAGGAGACGCGGATCACCTGAGTAGTTCCATAAGCAAGCCCATGTACCTCTAGATAAAATCCCTCCTCTGCTAAAAAAGAATATTCTCTCGCAGATAATAAACTTGAAGCCATCCACGAAAATCTCGCCAAAGCCTCGACCAACGCCTAGAAGAGACAAAGAAAATCCAACAGGGTTGGTGACCAAACTTGGCGGTACCATCGTGAAGGATGGTTTAACGACTGTCCATGAAACCAGCGTAATTGGGACATACATTAATGGAAAGTACGCCCAGGTCTTGCAGAGCTCTTCCAGGATTCTCACTCCAGCAGCTCCGGCTGTTCCCGAAGGAAAAGTTCGACCTACAAACGCGCAAAGGATTCTGAAGACCATTGGTCCACAACAAGGGAAGCTGAAACCCCACCTGGAACCAACACCGACTGTCCAGCAAGAGGAATCGTCCTTGCCTCTGGAAGTCCTCTTCAGTGCACCCTCAGGTCATTATCTGTAACTTGATGAATTTTCGAGCCAAATACATTTGGGGGTCTTGTAGGGTCGCTTCGTGAGAAACGCGCCAAATGCACTTGGGCCTGAAGGCAAGAATACCGAGTCTCTTTACGCCAAGGATGAATTTTTTCCTATTATCAGGTCCCAGTGTGAGAACCACTCGCAGACACACGGGAGGTATCCAGTCGCGACCAAAATTCCGGAACAAGATCGCCGAGGATTTGGAGAACAACGAGCCACAGGCTCAGCAAAGAAGTCTGGGGAAAGCTCGTCCAACCACAGCCCGACCAAGTTACAAGTATCTACCTAATGATCAGTTTGTCCGTTCCTTAAAGGACCAGTCCCGCGCTACGTGAATACGAAGGCTATAAGGAAGGTCCTGCCACGTACGAACAAAGTTTCCTAATAAACAAAATTTAAAAAACGTTCATAAATAATTTCTATAAAATTGGAATTTTTTCGGGACGTTCCTTGCAGCCTCCACATTTGCGTAGCAAAGTTTCAAACGATTCGGTTCATTCAGTTCGAAGAGAAGTGTCATAAGCGAGTCCTCTTTGGCGGCACATTGACATGGCCTTAACTCGCGTTTCAGGAATCGTATCCAGCAAACAACGACGACGGAGCCGGCCGTAACGCGTAGGCGAAACGGTTTCAGGCCTAATAACCCAGTCCCTATCGCAAAGCCGGGTAAGCCCAAGAACGAACCACTCGCATCGGCGGGTCCCTTGCCCAAGGTAAAGCTCCCAAGGACCCCAGGCCGCTGGTCCTACAAGACGACTCCTAAACCCAGAATTGCGATCCGCAAGCAGGTGGTTGCCGATGAAGATGATAGGACGTTGGCGCCGGAAACAAGCGCGCCGGAAGTCGGGGCCGAAGAAAAGACGCCCATGCCGATGGCTCAGCGAAAGATCCAAGAGGGATCGCTAGACGACGAGTCGAAAGAAGCGAGCGAAGTCGCGGAGACCGTAGCTCAAGAGCACGAGCAAGATCAGCAACGCGAGCTGCAGCAAGATCAGCCGCAAGAGTCGTTGCAGCAGCCGCAGCAACACGTCCTGCCGGTAGAGACGCTCAATGTCGAGATATCCACGCCTGCAGACTTTAATGACGTTTATTTCGAGATCGCGACCATCAAATCGCCGTACACCTTCCAGGTAAGAATCGATCATAGCTTGGATGATACCGAAGAATTAATGCGGAACCAAGTTCCAAGGTTCCTTGGAACCCTTTGCTCACGCTTGCCGTCTCTGCTTCCAGGTGGGAACCATGCGAAACACCCGCTACGTGACGGTGACCTCCACCATAAAAAAATCATTCGCGACGGCAGAACCGACAAGTAGCATCGCCCCGACGGAGCCTCTGACAGAGAACATCCTGGCCAACACGGGTGCGGCCTACGAAACGACGTTGCCCATCGACTCGTCCATAGCGACACTTCCAGCAGTATCGCTGGAGGCAGGTCAGGCTACCCCACCGCTGGAGACGATCACAGAGACCTTCTCCACGACCCAGACCCTCTTGAAGACCCACCTCCTGCCCGTGATCTCCGGGGGCAACACCACCAGGCTCACCTTGGTCCAGACCTACAACATAGCCAGAGTGGTCACAGCCACGAAGACTCTTCCACCGATGGAGATCTACCAGTTCATCCCAAGCAAGACCCTCAACGAGTTCAACTCTAAGCTGGACGAAGCCGGCAGCGAGCTTCACCTGGAATTGGACTTTGGTGATGACGATAGGGACGACGACGACATTCCCAAGCGAGTTATGATCCCTGGGAATGAAGGGATCTCCGATTTGGACGTCTTCAGGTCGGTTACCCCGTCCAAGGCGAAGATAGATTCGGTACAACCCAGTCTCATGGCCAAGGAACCCCAGCTTTCGCCGGAACAGGCTCAACAACTCGCGTTGTACAAGTACTTTGGCCAACCCCAACCCCAGGTGATCACCACGTCCCGACCTGTGGTCGTCCTGGAGACCGTGTACGAGTCCCATGTCATTCCCGTGCTGAGTGGCGGGAATACGGTCTATTCCACCCTTTCGAGACCCGTTGCCACGGTTCCCAGGACGTCCTATGAGTACGGCACCTCCACCATTTCGCCTATTCTCCCGCCCCCGGTGCCGCAGCCTCAGGTGCCGCTTTTCCCCCAGCAACAACCACAATTCACTGTCACCAGTGCTCCCATTGTCACTCAGACCCTGGCTACCGTGTCTGACTCAAGGGTGCTGAAACTCACTTTTGGCGCAAAAACCGCGTACACCACTTTGTTCTCCACTAAAGTCATTCCAACGGAACTGACGACTTATGTCACGTCCACGGTGCCGTTGCAGCCTACTGTACAGCCATTCCCGGGGTACTTCCCACAGCCTGTTGCCTATCCACCCTTTCCCTACGTTGGATAAAAAGAAGCGTATAGATAAGAAGATATGCGTCATTTGGTAGGTTTAATAATCATTCATTGTAAGGGAATTTGCTGCATCTTTCCGATTAAGTCAGAGGTAAACTCTAAGAATCGTCAATTGAACTTGGAACGAACTCGGTGCTATTTAATAGCGTTCTGAGGATCCTTCGAAATCCATACTTCACTTGATGTACAAAGCAACGGAGTTCGCAATTTATTTCCCGAGGGCACTTGCCACTTCCAAGTGGCCCGAGAAATGTAATTGATCGGCGAAATAATTACTGTACATAAATTATTACATACTCTATTATCATATATGTTCTAAGAATGTTTTTTTGTAAATAAAGTGTGAAACATTCCCAATGAATTTTGCGTTAATGTCAGCCTTGCCATTTCCGATTTTTGGAAAATTATATGAAGACCCACGGATTCTTTTTTCGAAGTAAATTCTTATTTTAAATAAATTAGGAACGAAGTTAACAATTATTTTTAGGACTGGGAAGTGGATATGCATCCGTGCTAAGTATGCACCAGTTTCGATGCACCGACGTTATATGCCAGCGCCATAAGGGGCGAAAAAACTCAAAGTGCAGGCACTCTCTGTCACTTTTTGCTATTCTCTGGTATAAGTCTACCTGGCAGCGGAAATGTTACTTTTCCATGCTTCACGAACGTGTCTCACTGTACATGGTACACGTTGAATTATTCGGTCAAGTCGAACGAGAGAAAATGGTTATGACCGGGCACTGGAGTTGATGAAAAAGGAAACCGATTGCGTGGAAGTTCAAGAGTCGTTTATAATTGCACGGTGATCAGTGATAAATACGAGAATGCAGTCATTTTTTTCCCGAGCAAACTCTATCGTAGCTTTTACTCTGAGCGTGTCGGCTTGCCTCACGTTATGTTGCTTCCTGACAACTGTATTTATCGACTACAGGGCGAATGCCACAATAGACACTGTTAAAGTTGTCGTGTGAGTATATTGTAATCTTCCGATGGTGGCGGTATTTTAATTATACACCGCAGCGAGGAAGATTAATAAAAGCAGCATGCCCGTATTTACTATTAACGCTGCATTGTTTTTAAAAAATAATCAACTGGTGTGGTAATATTGGTTGGACCGTCGGTATGAATTTTTATAATTTTACACTTGTATGTTACAGAAAGAACGTACCAGATTACAGTGCGTCGAGGGAAAAGAACGATCTTGGTTTCTTAACCTTCAATCTACAGACTGATATCCTTTTTCATAGTGTATATAAATATTTATAAAGGAGAACATTTCAGAAATTCACTTGTAATTGAACAAAAATTTTTCCCTTCAAATTTTTTAATGAAGCATTCGGAGCAAAAATTTTGTTACTACATCTGACCAGCTTTTGAATTTATTTCCTTAACGCAGTAATACATCTCACTCCATTGTTTAACTGGAACGTTAAACAATTATTTTTATTTCTCACAGCTGAATATCGTACAGAAACCAATGATGTTAATCAGGTACTTCTTACTGCTTGTTAAATATTTTGGGAAGCGTCCAACAAGTGTATCGATCGTTCATAATCTCCCTTATTCATAGGTTGTGTTATGGGATAAGATAGTGTTAAGAGGAGACAACGCCCTACTTGACTTTCAAAATGTGAACACGAAATATTATTTCTGGGATGACGGACACGGTCTAAGGTAATGACTTTTCTGACCATGTATCGTTCTTTCTCAAGATCATAGGCCTCGTAAAACTGAAGTTAACACGCCATCCAGCTCTCACTGTGTATTTTTTATTTCAGAGGGAACAAGAACGTTACGTTGACCCTATCATGGAACATAATTCCAAATGCTGGATTATTACCAAGTGTCAGTGCAACCGGTTCTCATAAGTTCGCGTTCCCTTCGGTCTACACCACTTCCCGAGTCTAAAATTAACATTGGCCGTGTGCAGATGTTAATATTGTAATTTTTCTGCGACTTCATTTGCACAAAAGAAAATAAATATTAAACATGGAATTTACTATCATCACATATGGATGCAACGTTAGTAATAACAGCTATCGGCAAGACAGGTTATCAGGAAGTACAGTTAACAGCGATAAAATCAGAACTTTCTACCTTACGTGTTGCGTCCCCATTCGTCGATGGGAAACACCGGAAACGACCAATGAAACGAATTATTTTCTGACTCCACCAGCCACAAAATCGGTGACCTAACATCTCTAACGTTTCTAAGGTTCCATATTTCTAGAAAAAAAATGTAAGCCTACGATTAGATATTAAATTACCAAGAAGGAGATATAACAGATTTCATACTATTTCTGTGACATAGTTTCCGCGTGACTCTGCCCATAAGCAATTTCCCAATTCAATTCTACTTGGCGCATCTCTGTTTTGTGAACATTTCATGCCCGTCGACTTGCCGATAAAATAGGGACCTACTTCGCGAGAAGTGCACCGACATTCCTATGTACATGTCGTAGACACGAATGACTTCCCACCACGCAAATAGTGGCATCATTTCAGAAGATGAAATTCCATAATATAGATATTCATATCGGTTTCATTTTAGAACGCGGCATACACCTCGATAAGAGATATTGCCCCAAAAAAGCCAGGGAGTTCTTTCACCCTCTCCAAAGAAGTATCAAAAACTATCCCACCTCCCACTTAATTATTCACTATCAGTCCAACGTCCGTCGTAGACGTGCACTATCCATACGCGCCATTCAAACGACGTGCGTCGTTTTCTATTCTAATCCAATTAAATCCTAAAACTTCATACCCCTCATTTATACTCCCATTTAAATCCCTCTTACATATACTCCTTACGGGAAATAATTTCAAATGAGATGGAAAAAAAAAAAATATATATATATAAAATGGGATTAATTAAGTTAGAGGTAGGAGCCATAAGCCAGGCCTTTCGGGAAGGAGAGCGTCCCGAAAAAGGGGGCCAGCCAGCTTAATAAGCTCGTTCCTGACACAGGGAACGGGGGAGAATAATTATGAGCTTGCGCACAACGCAGGTGAAGAGAGAAATAAAGCAGAGACCCGGCTTGTAGAGCCGAATGCAGGTGCGGTCGGACTCGGCCCGATCAAGGGAGCGCCGTTCGCGCAGAGGGACCATCTAGCTCGTTTTCGAATATTCCCCTCGTCCTCGACTGGAGAAGGGGCTCGTCTTCGCTCGAAAAAAGTTCGCGGTGGGTGCCTTTTTTCCCTGGGTGCATATCGAAATACTGGTGGATATCGTAGCGATCGCTGGCTCGCCCGGATGCTGAGGCATGCGCCCTGCAACTCCTCGGATTGATGTATCGCAGAGCGCAGGTACAAATGCTCGTATTTGCATACGTCGAGAGACATTTAATCCTATTTCTTTGATCCCTCCTCGCATCCTCGGTATTCCCGGATTATGTTCCAATCAGCGCAGATCTTTCGACTCGTTAATTAGGATACCCAACATGGGATTCCCACTCGTGGGTGTCTTGACAAGTCTTAATGTAATCTCTGTCGTTAATTGCAGACCTGGATTTATCTCCTATTATGTTCGGCTGTGACGAGTGTCTCTTTCACGTCGCAAGAGGATGTCACCACGGAAGGGCTTCAGTGTTTGCTGGAATGCATATGTCTCTCCCCCACGCAGGTAAATACGAAGTTCACGAGGAAGGTCCTGACACCCATGAAATTAAATTTTTTTTTTATAACAATTTTTCTAAACATCTATAAGCAAATTTAAAAAATAATTAAACCTCGTAGGTATCGGGACCTTCCTCATAGCCTCCATGTTCACGTGGTGAAGTTCGAAACGAAAAAAACGAATCGGTACACCCGGAGAAAAGTGTTGACTCTTCGGATGGCACTTTGACATCCCCTTGGAGGAACTGGACTAATTCCCTAATCCGCTCCAGGTCCTCTGCAACACAGGAGGCTTGCAAGACATCCCCACGAGGCAGCTTCCTACGACAGTGGAGGAGCTGTCCTTGACGAAGAATAACTTCTCCGTGATAAGGATGGAGGCATTCAACGGCCTGAAGGCGCTAAGGAAGCTGAACCTGGACGGGAACACGATTTCGCTGATAAAGCCCTTCGCCTTCCGGGGTCTTAACAAGCTGACCGAGCTCTCTATCCAGCACACGTCCCTTCCGTTCATAGGGCAATTCTCTTTTGCGGCCCTGCAGAACGTGACCGTGCTGCTGCTGGCCAACAACAAGATCGGCTACATAGAGGAGAACTCCTTTGCCGGGACCTCGAACATCAAGCTGATCCTCTTGAGCAACAATCCGTTAATAACGATCCGCGGTAACGCGTTCTCGGGGCTGAGCAACGTGGAGCACCTGATCTTGCCCTCGGGGATCCGAATCGTGGAAGCGGACTCGTTCCACGGGCTCCAGAACGTAGGGATGCTGAAGATGACCTACATGGACCTGGACAGCCTGAGGCCGAACACGTTCAACGGGCTCAGCCACGTCCACGAGCTGAACGTCCAGGACAGCGACCTCGCCGTTGTCCGCAAGGACGCCTTCAACGGGCTCAGCCACGTGGACAACATCAACATCATGAACAACAAGATAGACGCCATCGAGCAGCTGCACATCTACTCGAACAGCGCCATTGGGATGTTCAGGTTCCACGGGAACCACGTATTGGAGGCCCCTCGACCCGGCGATGCGGTCCTGGAGGTCGGCACCATCAGCGCCGTCGAGAACTACTTCCCCTGCGACTGCCAGATCCACGACGTCCTCGAGAGCGACTTCGCCAACAGCTCGGTGGTTGAATTCCAGCAGCGGAATTTCTGCATCTCGCCGCTGGAGTACAACGGCAAGCCGATGAACACGGTCGACTTCGACGTCATAGCCCGCTGCCACGAGAAGGTCGTGCACGATAATCTGGGCTCCAGGTCGAGCACCTTAGCGGGCAGCCAGCTTGTTCTTGCGATCCTTTTGCTCCCCCTCGTCTAACTTTTTCTATGGAATCTAAAGCACGTCTGTATCTAGCACGCCGCGAGGGGCAGCTTCCGTGATAGTATCTCGAGCAAGAAGGTCCTCTTCGTCGAGGTCGGCTTTCTGGAATCCACACCTCCTGGTGTGCATGCCTCCGCGGTGTTGAGCTTGCGCTGCGACCCCCAACTCTGTCGGTGTTCGTTATGTGGATATTAGGGGTGCGATGAGTTGAGTACTTCGACTCGAGTCATAAAGAATTACGAATTCCTTTGGATGGATTTTCTTCTTTGTTCTTCCTAAACGATTACAATGGTGAGAGACGTTCAAAGGAATTCTGCTCGGTGGAAGTTTCAAGTCCCATCGGCTGAGCTGACGCGCATATCCTTAAATGCAATCGAGGACAATGACCAATAGAAATGACATTAACTATACCTTGTATCGGTCCTAAACATTAATTATTCATTCCAAGATCATTTGACGTGAAACTCCTGTAGTGATCGAGCACACCGGGGAACTGCTAAGTTTCTCACTCGGTCTCTAAAGCGGTTCTCCCACATCGCCTTAACTGTACGTGCGCGAAACGAACATCGGGATGCAGGAATAATTAAGGAATTTCTGCATCTTCTCATCCTCTGCTAAAGAATTCGTGCAATCCTCGTATCGACGTCTGCTTCGTTAGTACAGCGTGGCATTCCCTCGTTTTTACCGACAGCTAGCTTAACCGGAGAAGTACTCTGTGCTTTGATCGAAGATAGACCTCTGCCAACACGGTTGAGGTTATGACTTTCTGTTAACAATAACCACAATAAAATGATTCACCACTTCGATCGACAAGTGTTGTTCATTGGTTCCCTATCATTACGAGGTTAGGGCGCACAGAAAGTGGCTTCCTTACGAGGAACAATCTTTATTTAGGAGATTTCCTATGTACACAAATGACTACCTCGTAGTTGCAATGATTTCTTTTCACTTGTACGAATAAATTATAACGCACCGAAGAGATACCTCCTTCACTGTGGTACGATGTGATTTCATGTGCTTATATGGTAAGAACTGTCACTAATATGGAAGAGGGACGGTTTTAGGGAACGGTGGTGGATCAAATTCTCCTAAGTCAGCATCGTAAGTGCCATCAATTTTGTAAATTTTCATCTCCCATGGGACTTGATTTTCCATTTCGGTTAACTGAATTCCTAGATCTTCAAGGGTAGGTAAGTCTTTCAGAACGACGTCGCTTATGTGTTCCTATAAGATAGAATTAATTTACCACGTTTGTTTATGCCGGTAAATTACTTATTTGAGCACCCCATTTGTCGGACTTTTGTTTAGAAAAGGGCTTGATCTATTTTTGGGCTTTTTAAAAATCTTTCAACCTTACTCACTTTTTCAATACCCTCCCAATGAAGGAGACCTGCTGGGTAACTAGGGCTTAATGCTGAACATAATTCAAGTTTCAAATAAAATAATGGAAAACGTTTAATATCAAGTCTTCGATATCCGTACTTCTTGGATTCGTATCTTAGGAAACCACAAAACCAATCAACCAGCTCAGACAACTTATAACGTTTCGGCCTGCAAAAAAAGTGCAAACATTTTAGAAAAGAAACTTGCATCGTGTTCTTTGAAGTAACAAAACAACCAAAATTGATGTAAGTAATATATTCTAGTTACAGACCCAACAAATTGGTATGTTTTGCCTGCCGTATTTGGATCTTTTACTAATGCTGCTATGCCAGCTGCAACATCATATACTGCAACAGGTTGTTTTTCAGTTTTTTCACCCTTCTCCCAGAGGGGTATTCCTCTGAAAGAGAATGACATTCTTTATCACTCGATTTAAATGAGTGAACTAAAATATTAAGATGACATGAAAATGGCAACAGAGAAGTTAATCATTCATGAAACTTGAAATAATTCAGTACACCCAGTTCTGAGAAAAGTTTCATAAATAAGAGCCTTGTCACTACTTATATATTACTTTAAAAATTCCATCTCAACGAAACGAATTGTTTTTTGATTACCTCAAGTGCACTCTGAATTTGGTACCGTACTGGCGAAGGAATTTATCCTCTTGGCCATATATGTCCGATGGCCGAACGATCGTAGCTTCTGGGAATTCTTTTTTTACTGCTTCTTCACCAGCCAATTTTGACTTTAAGAATCTGGAGCCAGTTTTCAAAAATTTTGGCTTATGAAGAAGGAAACAGAAATGAGTTTCGTTAACGATAGATAAGCATTCCTTACAAGAGAAGTACATTTTATAATAAAATATTCAACTCACTGGCTCATTAGCAGTCACGTTAAGACAAGAAACATGAATGAATCGTTCTACTCCAGATTGCTTTGCAAGTCTGGCAAGTCGTGCTGGCCCTTCGACATTTACATCGTTGAACTTAAAGTTCTTGGTTTCCCAATCGCAGCCAATTAAATTTACAACAACATTTGAGTATTTAATTGCTTTCAGAATGGATTCTTCATCACACAAGTGGAAAGGGCTGTAAAGCACTTGTCCTAAATCGCCACATAATTTTAACTGCATAACGTTGTAGTGATCCCCTCGAAATGGAATAATTAACTACAACATAAAGATTCATACTTTCATTTCTGCAATTTTGATAACCTCCCATACTCTCATAACATGTTTATACCTTGGATATGCAACGGAATTTACCTGTGTCCCAATTTTTCCTAATTGATTGCAGACATACCGCCCAAGAAACCCACTAGCACCAAAAACGGTGCACACGGAGCCGTTAAAAGAACTCCGCCCTCCTGTTCCTCTTTTTAGAGCCGCTGTGTTAGAATCCTTAATTATCCTCGGATTACTGGAGTAATTACACGTCTGAGTTGCTGCGCTGCTTGCCAGTAAAGTCTGTTTTTCTAGGTAAACAGCATTGCCTTGCCATTACATAATTGTTAATATCCACATCAGGGAACATATAGGTTAACCCATGAAATTAAACTATCCAAATAGCCTTTGCAGGCTGCCAGGTCGAGTTTCATTGTAATAATGATTACATACGACCTTAAGATAATTATAAATTATGAGAACAACTTACGTGCCAGTCGCAAACTGTACTTTTGAATCTGCGCCATTTCGAGATCGCGCGATGCTAATTTGAGGTTAAGGTAGCAATTATTTATCTACTCGTTACTTCGCTTATCATGTTAATCCTCTGCTTTATTCCCTATTCCGTAATTTCCAGCAGGTTATAAATTACGAATGCACTTCTTGTTCAACAATTCGTGCGCGAACAATCGTTTTTAAAGTCCCGTATGCGCAAGTCCACACTCATACATTGGATCTCCCACTTCCAGATTTGTCACCCTACATTATCGACTGATGCTTCAAATAGGCGCAAGATTTCTGTTCTTCGTTGATCGCATGTCGATAATGCCACAACACTTTTAATACTTTTCAGCCGACCGAATAAAACTGGCAAGCAAGTTCATCGTCAAGCTCGAAGATAGCGCCACCATGCATCTTCCCCATAGCCGCTATCTTGTGCCGCACGAAGGAACCAAATCATCGATACTTCGCGGCACCTTTTCCACACGAGAGGAATAATTTCCTGCCTAACTGACAGCTATTATTTAAAATAATCCCTCGACACGAGAGCGCTTAGACGTAACCTCGTTATCGTTCGAGGCGACGAGAGATTAATTCACGCCGAAGGGAAGGAGCCCGGTGACATATTTCCATACATCGAAATTCATGTCGGCGGCGCGGCCGAAATCGATGGACTAAGTAATGCCCCTTTTAGCCTCGCGCAATTACGGCCTCGTTATGAAAGAAGGCTTGTACACAGCCCCGTCGTTGTTAGGCGGAATGAAAGCGCGTCCTTAATGAATTGTCGCACTTGCGAAATAAATGGCGAATTGGCGTCGACGACGGCGTTGAATTAGCATTGAAGTTCAGGTCCGCGGGGCCGACGAAATCGATGGACTAAGTAATATTAACAGGGAAGTGCCGGCCTTGCTAGCTTTCTCAAATCGTTTCATACTTTAAAACGTGAATATGGAGACCCAAAGGTAGGTCCTGAGACTCTTGAAATTTCATTTATTATAAACTATTTTTAAAATACCTGTAAACAAATTCGAAAGGAATTGAAATTTCATGAGCTTCAGGACCTTCCTCATAGTATCCCTGTTCGCGTTGTAAAGTTTCAAACTATTAGGTGGATCGATGATCTGATGATTTTTCCCTTCTTTTTCGTATGATAAAAAATTACATTCTGTACGTCCTGCGCTATGTATCATTACGTGGAATACTCCCCTTGCGCGTCACTGCGCACCCCTGACGGGGGAATTCTGGGTTAGACATACACCATGGTTGCCATGGGACTCCTGGATTTTTTTTTTTTTTCCTTTCCAGACTTCCTGGGTCCTCCAAGCCCGCGCTTTTCCTGGGCGCAGTTCCGTGACGTCACCCTGCGCGACCTACAACCAACGCAGGGGATGCGCGAAGGTTGGTAGGTCGCCGGTGGTGTCAGGAAACAGTGGGGGTAGGTTGCACGTCGAGGGGTTGGTACCCCAGAGCGGTATAGCGTTCAGCGCGGTCTACATGCGCAGAGCGTTGAACGTGGTGGCTCCTATCGGACCGACCGCGTTCAAACCGCCGCAGGACTTGAGGAGTAAACCCGCGTAGCGTGTATTCCGCGCCGGAACCCTCGTCCTGGGGACCGCGCACCAGGACAGTCCACGCGTAAGAATTTTCGGGGACCGATCGCACCCTCGAGGAGCCGCGATCTCGATCGAGCGGGGTCCAGAGTTCATCTGGAACGAGGCTCCGAACCATGAACCCTGGGAACCAGGGAGAACCACCTGAGGAATCGCTCGGAACCGCCGATGGATCAACCTGGACGCCCATTGGTCTTATGGACGGTCCACGTGTCTCGTCCGAAGTCCCACGTGTTGCCGATGGGCAAGTTTGAAGGCACCATCGATCGCTGATCCATCCAAGCGATATATCCTGCCCGATCCCGAAGGACCATCGGATCCTGGCGTTACTATCAGTCCTTGAATGACTTGTACTCGGAGCCGATGCCTCCTTGTCATCCTAGAACCCCATCGACGGACCCAGACACCTGGAGCGCGAGGTGTACTTATAGTCTTATCAGACACCTGTTCGGCATGTAAACGTGTGTTGTAGTCCGATACGCTCGAGGGTTGATAAAATGGAATGACCAGGACTTTCGGACGTGCATTCGCGACCTAGTCCTGGCCCAGTTGGGAGGATCCACTCATTGGCGACGGAGAATCCAATAAGTGCCCCTGATGGACCCCATCAGCTGTTCGGAGGGATAAGGCACCCATCCGGCCTTCCCAACGTCCACGTGTCTTTTGCCAGCTGTTACACGTGTCGACTATACATTTACACGTGCTCTCGATACGGACGCATGCGATCGAGCTGATCAGACCGAATCGATACCCGTCGACGACAGTTCAGGGATATACTTGCTCGTGGAGTAGGGCACTCGGTCTTTCGGACCGTGTACCGTCTAATGACTCGTTTCCTTGGTCAATGTTTATCTAGATCAGCTGGAAATTTGTAGAGCCGAGTGGTTCCTCGACTCTCTCTCTCTCGGAAATTACACCGCAAACCTGAAAAACCAGACCCGGGAACACCGTCAACGAACTTGCCGACTCTGCTCCGGGGTAACCACCCTGGTCTCTTTACTCTAAGCAAATATTCATCAGCTACGACCGCTGCACGTCCGCCCTCCGCTATTTGTCTGACAGCTTCATACAACTTCGAGAACGATACGTGTTCTTGTTCTGAAACTCCACCGAAAGGGCTCCACCATGACTGACCACAACGAATAGTCCAGCTAAAATCCCAAAAATCGCATCAACGCGTCTCGACGTTTAATCGGTCGATCCGGGACAGAAGACCCCCTCATGACACAAAGAACACGTGTCTTTTGCAAACCATCTGATAAATGCATCCTCGACCACCAGCGCTATCGACGGCAATCTACGGAATCGACGTTATGGATTCAGCGGACTTGTTCTTAAGGTGACTTGACTTTTTACCGATTTTTTACTATTCTTTACGGTCTTTGGCCAGATCTTTGGTCTGGTTATCGCAGATATTCCATTAAAATTGGGGGTTGTTGGGCGATTTGAAAATGTGTCTTTGGCGCCATGTTGGCCAAGCTGGGACTTGTGGAAACCTCGCAACAGGTTAAGGTGCGTGATGTTTCCACACATTGCGTGATCTCGAGAAGGGCGGCGTGGTTATTTTACGAACTCTTAATTAGCACGGGGAAAAACTAACATTAGGAACGCCTAACGAGGGTGGGTACGGAATTTTACATCGCCCCCGGAATGAAATATAAACCGACGATCTTTTTATGGATTACGGAATATCCCGCCACCTGTACCAATGTTTTATATGGAACATTATGGAATTATGTTAGTAAGGTGCCCGAAGGACGGGTTATTATTCCACTGACTCTTTTTTTCCTTTCTCAAGATTAGGAGAAAGTGTTAAGGGCGATGCCTTATTGTGCCGTGCAAGGGATGATCGATGGAGGGACGTTTGCTTAGGGGGGAAATTTATTCATCGCTTCGAGTTGGCTATCCAATCGATTCGAGGTGGAATTAATTCCTCGATTACCTGCTCGATGAGACCAGGTGGACTTGCGCGGGAAATTTCAGCCCAGGAATTCTCTCCTCCCTCGTTGTTCATCGAGAAAGTGAATTATATCACCGATCGATATCCGCGACTCATCGAGATATTATTACATTCATCTTTTAACGTTCCAATTTCTTTCCCTCTATCTATAACATCCACTTCATCCATTTGCACGCACAATTTTAAGAAATATTAAATGATTATTCTGCATTCATGTTTCATGCTTAATTGAGGGGGATGACACTTATCCTAAATATTAATTAACCATATCTGGTAGTTGAAATAATTACGCAATCGCGATTATCGTCGTCGTTCCGGAGGTTAATTGTTTCTCAATGCGATTGTTCATTATTTCGGGCATATGTGGTATTCATTGATGCATCAGCGATGTGCATGCATAGAATCATGCCTCCGGATAGCGATCGATGCAATGCCAATAATAATCGTCTTATTTGCAATGCGTTGCATGCAGGCAAATTACCGTTTCGCGGACCTGCGCTTTATTTAAATATTGCAAACGTTTCCATTTGCTAGTCGGAAGGATAAAGTATCCTCATCGACAGAGATATGCAAATCGTCATACGCGAAAGAATAGTGAAAATTCACTGGGAAAAATCGGTCCGAAAAATTCAAATTCGTCACAGACGAGGGGAAAAAAAAAATCAGTTTCGCCGTCGGTCGTATTTCTTTTTTTTTTTTTTATTTTAATAAATATTCATACACGCAAATTCCGAACGGTATGTATCAATTGATTTCCCCGGGAAAGCTTGAATTTGAAAATCGATTCGGAGGGAAACTTTTCATTCGCGGTGCGATCAGAAAGTTCGGTTGAGTTTCACGGCAAATGGAAACAATTAAATAAAATCATCCCATCCAATAGTTCATTGTCCGATCATTGTTTCCTTCCAATGATTTCTTAGTAGAATTGTCTTTAAGGGATGCCGTCAAAGTCCGCCATTACGTTTTCCAATTTCGAAGGCTTCGTTCTCGGGACATCCGTGAAATCCTGAAATCCCGAAATCCCGAGGGTGCGGTCTCTCCCCTGGGTCTATTTACAGGAGGCACAGACAGGGGGATGAAAATTTGACACCCCGCTAGAAAAATCCGACACCTTTCTTTGAGTTAACCGCGGCATGACGTGACCAAACATTCGAGGGAGGAGCACACGGTCGAAGAAGCAACGGGTTGCGTGACGGCCATTTGCACGACTCCAATTTTCCTTTTTCCCCTCTTATTCCTTCTCGCTCAAAGAATCGCCGCCTCGCCCGACTCTGCCCCAGAAATACGGCATTTTCCTTCTGGCTGATATTTTCGCTGCACTCGGTGGGTATTTTTATAATCGGTTTTCATTTTGCGCTCCGCACTCGCATTATGGAGTTTACTGCACACTAGTGGAACGGTCAGGGCAATGCACGGACTCGTAAGTAGAAAAAGTACGGTCAGCCACGGGCGCACTTGACACTGAACGATGTGAGACAATTGTTAGATTCTCTACTTGGAACATTAATAAATAATGTACGACTGTGCACTCATCGGCTCGATTTATTCGTTCGTTAATTTAGATATAATACCTATTTAATCTGGAGCATTATTTCAGTTGTACTCTGTGTACTTGTTTGCCAGAGGCTACAAAAGCCCGGGTTCCCTAGCCTACCCAAAGTTAAATCGATACCCGATGTTTA